ATTGGTATTTTTATGACATATATGGCTCTTTAAACCGATAAATACGTAAATGATACTATTATTCTCTCTGACGTAGGCCAAACGCAGCGAAGTCGACATGCCACAGATTTTCATCCCTTTGATGTAAGCGACCTTCCCCTACATGAATACCGCGCAGATTTCTCTCCTGCGAATTGAAACTGTCAAACGCGCCGATTGTCGTTCATTAGCATCACAGATTCCGACTGAAGTGTATACGTTAATGTCACAGTCCTCCAAAACGCACTCAACGAAACAGAGCGAAAAGGATTTCTTTACTGCAGATTGCGTACAGCAATTTCTCACGGAAGCAGCCGTCCGCGTCTGAATGGACTTGCCTTGGTCTTTAAGACAGCGACTGCTTAACTTTTCGAAGTCGGCTCTGTTCGGTCATTCTGCGTACTGACGTACATCTTTAACTTCAGCCTTTAAGATTGAGAGAGAGCGGAAACCGACGCAAAAGCACAAGACATCTTATCCCCTACTAGGAATAGCCGTACATACGAGACGCACGCCGCCGACAAACAGAGACGCAAACATCGGTTGTAAAGCATTCTTTTCGCCAGTTCGCCGAATCCAGGCTGCTTCCAAGCGAAAAATTCATTAGGAAACTTCTACTTACCCGATATAAAGAGCTAAAGCAGAAGCAGTTGGCTGTCTACGTTTGGCCACCTTCGCTTGAATACTTGAAGCTGACGAAAATGATTACACTGCTGCTGCCACCGACATCCCTGAAGGGCGGTAGCCACGGCTGTCAATCAAACTCACCACCGCGGAAGGGCATCAAACACACGTATTATCTTCCTTCGACCTCATAGGCTGCCGCCAGAGTTTTGCATTTCAAATGTACTCGAGTTTGGCACCATAAACAAAAGACTATTGTAAGGTACCTCAACATCTGCAGAGTGGTTGTCAGTTTTCGGCTGGTTCAACCAATCCGTAGCCTGTTCACGAGGCGCCAGTGCTGGTTATATTCGCGTTACCTGTTGTGTATTAAAAGGGACGAACTGAAACAAAGTGCTCCTCAGTATTGTGTTATCGGCTGGCGGGTTATATTCGTCAGCTACATTCAACAGACTGAAGGAAGAAGTGAAACAGCCTTTCTATGTACTGTATACTTACTGTACTCGTCAACGTCGCAGGCTTCAGGAGACGCCGCCGAAAGATTTCCACAGATCAATATTTTAAGACTATGAAAGGTGTTGACTCAGTTCAATTCACCGGATCTTGTGACGAGCGAAGCTGTTACACCACATAAACACGGGCGCAAAGCTTCGCTAGCTTTTATTTCGAAAACAAATTGTTTTCTCTTTTAAAACTAATGTAGCAGGAACGCAAAAAAAAAAAAACAAGAAAAGAAATTAGATGATGTACTAAGATAAACGTCGGAAGTTTTAAGGAAAGGGAAATACGCAAAATCCGCGTTTCATCCGCGACTGAGCTGTTAGTTTCAGAGACGATGAAGGGACATCCTCGTGAAATCCGTCTGTATTATTTTATCTTCTTATAAGACAACAGAAACAACAAAGAGGTTTTCCTGTGCGCTTGCCAATCTTATTCACGTACCGTTTCCTTGAATCTTTCCGCTCTAGAGGTTTCGCAACTCGATGAATAAAATCTCAGAGTTTGACGCAGTGATTCTTATAATTCGCGGTCAAAAAAAAAAAAAAAAAAAAAAAAAACAGAAAAAACAAGTGCTATGCAATCTAAGGTATCATCCTCCCGGACTTCAAAGACGACCAGTGGGTTTGTGACAAATTGTCGAGAGTTCTCGTGATAGAGAGGGCCTTGGTTCTTAAACCGAGATCTTGATTTTCGCCACCGAGATTACGCAATGAAGATCATAGTCACGAGCCTAAAATTTCCTTATATGATCACCTCATCCCGGTGAGCGGCAGCCCGTTTAGAGTATCTCACCTTGATCCATCTCGGTAGCCGAGCTCAAATTTCCTTTTAATATTGAGAGCAATCGGGTTCAAAACTCAACTCGCAAACAAGGCTGAAATTTCCTACACAATGAAAATTCAAATTACGTGTTGCTAACCGATTCTTGGATTCATGTGAAGAGATCCTCGAACCATTTCAAATATTTTATTTAAAATATTGGGAAGCTGATGAATAATGAAAGCGGCTTGTTTCTTTTACTCCGGCAAATAGAGAGCTTCTACTTTGTTTATAGTTGGCCCTCAACGGAATAAATATCCCCATTACCAACAAGTCTGGCTAACTTGTGACATGAAAATTTTGCGAGTTTTAATTTTGGCGGATTGTTCTCAATCAGAATAAAGAAATTCCCGCTGGCGAGTCTAAGTAAGTTTTTGATAAAATATGTACGAGGTAAAGCTGTCAGTGAAGGCCGGTTAGTCCACTGTGCGATGCCTTAAAGCATCATTAGTCAAATACACCAGATAGAGTCGAAATAATGAGGAGCTTTGCCGTTGGTTATTTGGCTCGCCCTCTGAGCGATGATTTAACAATGATAGAATGTCTTTCAGCAGGTAGCAAAAGGAGACTTCAAGATAATAGTTCGACAAAATGGAAAGAGACAAAAGTGGCAATAACGAAGCATGTAAAGTAAATATATAAAGAAGTAACATGCCTGCGATCTAGTTGTTACAAGAATTTTGCTGACAGACAAATGGTGCTCTGATGAAGGGGGGTCCAGATCCCCCTCAATTCCTTCTCTAGATCTGTCACTGAGAGGGTCGCGGATAGAGAAGATTCTTAAGGATTGCAAAATGCAACATCTGGAAAATTCGAGTGGTTTATCACGAGACGGGAAGAACGCAGTGGCCTCCTCGAGACCTGGTGGCCGAGGTGTTGTGTTGTAAGAAGGCCTCAATTGGGGGAGGTGGGGGAATCACGTTGACGGTTAAAAATAAGCCCTGTTGACGGTTGACGATTGAATTTTAGGTCATTTGAAGGTTGACGGTTAATTGCTTGGAATGTCGTTTATAAACGAAATAAACGCACGAATTTGGCTGTAATTTTTCATAAAAAGGTTACAACTTTTCCTTGTTTCATTTAATAATCAAGTTAATCCTATATTTGTGCGTTGAAAATTAGGTTTTTGGACTTCAACTATTTGTCTAATTAGTTTAATTACATCACCTTTGATACCGCTCGACGTATTGATAGCGTGCTCAACCAAGTAGTGTACTTGTATGAGGAGTCGCATGAGGATCTCAAAGTCCTTGATTATCTGAGATCAAATCTCATCGATGCTTTTATCTGTCTCCCCAATCTTTTAATGAAATTCCTGTGTTCATCAGTGTCCGTGTCACTTTCAAATTCATCCAACTCCGTGAAAAATGTTCAGGCATCACTGACGAAAGTGACTGCTGTACAGTCGGATGATATGAATCGGAGTACTAATTCATTAACTCGGAAGTGGTCGAACTTTTCACGCGGCTACATCTGGAAAAAACTCCGATCCGAGTTCTAGATTTTGCCTTCTCGTATACAGCTAGTGGAAGACCGCCTGCTTTGTCTTTCGTCGTCTCGCTTCGAACGGTTCTCTGCCTCACTGGTCTGTAATGTTCTGCTCATTCTTTCATGGCAATTTCCGCCTCTTTTGGAATATTCTCTGCTGTCAAAGAGGTCACAAATTTTCAGCGGTACTTCATGGCACACTAGTCCGGGGAACAGGGTAGTAAGACGTATAATGTGTAAAATAACTGTTTTTCCACTTTGTAATCCATTTATGGGACTCCTTTGAGATAGTTCCAAAGTCCATAGCATACTGACTTACACTAAATGTCTCATGTTTGAAATGTGACACGGCAGGGAGGTTTTCTACTACGTAAGTGAAGAAAGTAGACCAATCGATGTGCTTTGCAAATTCTAGATTAACGGTGTCAATGTTTTCTAAGAGACGGTTAATTCCTCTTAAAAGAAGCTGAACAGACTGTTGCGTCTTCCGTGACACTGTGCTCTGAGGACCGTCAATGGTTGCCGCTTCTTTCAGATTGTTGTCTTCCGACTTTGGAAACTGTTGATTTGAGATAAGTGTTTATTTCATTCACATTTTCCACCTTTTGGCGTGGTGTGACGTCCTGGGCAACAGTCCCCTTGCAGGTTATTCCGAAGCTATCATACAATAGACCTGGGTGCTTTAGGAATTGTGTTGTCCCCCGACAGCTCAGAGATGAGCTTCACGTTCCCTGTTGCCGCATCCGTGACGACTATTGTTTCCCCAACAGTGCAACACCTGTTATAAATAAACGACTAACGTTTTGCGACACTGGAAGTGTTTCCAGACGGAAGTCAGTTCTGTCGCTAGGCCAGTTTTACTCGCGTCTAAAAGTTAAGGGACTTACACATAACTGATATATTAAAACTTCTATTATAAAATAATTCAAACGCGGGAGGTTAGGAGAACACTCGATAAGCTGGAAACCACTCCGCTTCGCGTCGTGGTTTCCTACGCTTATCTCGTGTTCTCCCAACCTCCCGCGTGTTTACATCAGGCTATGTAAACACGGAAACCATTTTACATTTCTTAATTTATAAACAGCAGAACTTGACCCTATTCAAGACAATCGTGTAGTTCTTAATAAGGATATTTGAGACATTTTACGGCTAACTTTGGCTTGCTTATTTGACGGTTGACGGTAAAAAAAACGCGTTTTTAACGGTTGACGATTAATATTTTGGCTATTTGACGGTTAACAGTTAACCACATTTAGACCCTCCTGTTAGGCAGAACACTTTTCTTTCACTGGGCCTGTCTCCACACAGGGGTATCAATGGGTACCGGTGAATGCTGGTGGGTAACCTTATAATGAACTAGCATCCCATCCAGGGAGGAGTGGTAATAATCGTCGCTCCATGCTATGCTAGTACAGACTTTAATTTTTTTTAACCTTTGTAAGATACACTGGGTCGGTTATTTAAACAAAGTTTAGCCGTTGTTTAACAAAACCGCGTTCTAAGCCATCTTCAATTGAACCGAACCTTTGATCTGAACACTTTCAAGAGTAGTGGAAGGACATTTATTTAATTATATCAACCCTCTTATAGAGTATCCCTGAGTTTCACTGCTTGCATAAAACTGCGATTTTGGGTAGATCTCGTGTATATAGTCGGTCCAATAACTCTATTTAAGCAATTATGGTCGCTAGTTTTGAATCGTGTTCTACATTTTCCATATTCAAGACTACTTCAACAGTCAGGTAAAAAGAAATTAAGTACACACTTTTTTAGTTTTTCATTCTTGGAAGTTCTATTTACATTTGAAATTGCGTTACAACGGTTGCTCAAACCTACATTGTCACTACATCAGTTGAAACTTCGCAAGCGAAAGGATTATTTTTATAGAAAACACTCGGAAAAGATAAAACCGCTCTGTAAGATATTCCAAACGGAAGAACATTCAATTAAATATTACAAACAAATAAACGAGTATTCACTGCTCGTTCAGATCTTTGTTTCATATTTACAGCACAAACGAAATCCTAATGTTCAATTTGTACAAGTGCTGGGAAAGTACGCATGCGTAGTCGTTCAACTTCTGCCCGCAGCACTGCAACTTCCTGCGCTTGCGCTTTGGCGAGGTCCACTAGCTTTCGCCTTGCTACTATGTCCTGCAGGCGGCGCTCACTTCCAGTGTCACTCCGGCCAGCAGCTGTGTGAGAAAAAAATTATGCAAAAAATAGTAAGAAACTATCTAAAATACATGCCTGCTTACATAAGTAAAAATTAATAAAAAGAAATAAATAAGGTCAAGACAATAAATAAAACGAAGTACACAAACCGAGATCGAAATAATCATCTCCTGAATAGCCATACGATCGAACTAAACCACAAAAAGAGAACGAAGCTAATATCCAGCCATCTTGACCGAACAAGCTCGGTCAATAAGGGATTTATTATCCGGCAAAAACATTTCGCTTTATTGTGAATAAAGAATGAATTGTTTACTTCGACAGCCGGTAAAGAAAGCTATCTGTGTTTTCAGCAAAATAAACCAAAGAGAGTCGCTTATGTTTCCTTTGTTTTGAATGTCCTCCGTTGCTGCTTGCGTCTCCATCGCCGACTTTGTCCTTTGTCAATCTGCCTCACGCAATTTTTTTTTCTTAAACGGGATCAAAGCGGGCAATCCCGAGCGGGAAAGATGGGCCCACCTTGCCCACTCGGGTAGCCAATCAGAACACAGGATTTGCTTCATAATGCCCACGAGTGCTACCAGCTGTATAACAAGGAAAGCTACTGGGCCAACTGTTGCGGAACTAAAAAAAGGCTCCAAAGATCCTAACGTTCAGGATTTAATGAAAGTTGATAAAGCAATTATGTCATTCCCGCTAGTTGGATACGAGGTGGCTTCTAGTTTTCAATTCACTTCTTACGGCCTCATCTGAGCATCGTATCGATCGCATAGGGCGAAAAAAAAGAAAAAAAACAGCAGAACCTATTAAGCGTTTTTTATGACCATGAAAAAAACTCTCTTTCGCTGAAACCTTTAACCCTTTAGAGTGATTAACATCTAAATTCTCCTAACAACGTCACCTCCAAATCACACATCAAGGTCACAAGAATAAAGCGAATGATCTTTAGAAGCTGTTGATTGTTAAACAAATTCTCCTTGTTAGCACCTAAGGCAATGTATAGAGAACAGTGTGGAGAATATGCATACTGATGGTAGGGTGTAAAGGCTTAAAACTTTGCTGCTTGAAAAGTCAAGCCTGAGAAAAACGGTAAAATTTAAATTTTGGATCACTGAGTGCTGTCATTTTATTTCTTCGCTTTCTGTCCATATTTTTTTCCTGTTCTATCGTGTAATACCGTCGCATAAAATTTGCGCTTTTCATTTCCCTTTTATGGTAAAATGACGAGAAGCGAAAAAAAAATGCGTAACAGGAAGGTACAACCTATTTCACTAACCATTTGCCTCATTGACATTCCTCCTTTCAGCGACGGACAGAGCAAGTTCCTCTAGGTCCGCGTCAAGCTGTTCATTGTCTTTCTCCTTGCGACGTATTAATCTTTTGATATTCTTTATTGTTTCTCTGCGGTCATTTACATTACGATGATGCATCTGAAGGATAAAATATTGAGTTAGGGGAGGGGTAGGTACGCAGTTGCTAAGATACTGACATCGATACTTTTTTTGGTACCAATTTCAGCATGAAAAATTACATTAAATTTCCTATGAATATTATACAGACAATATATTTTTGCTTATTCTAAATTTGATAAAAAAAAAATGAGAAAGATCTTCCACACAAAAATCCTTGCCTTTAACCGTTCGCAAAATACACTTGTAAACGTTTCCACATTTCTCTATGTTCTTTCATTTCCTTGAGGTTTGATGTTACCCATTTTTGATGTTTTGTGTTTCGGTGAATGAATCACTGACCTTTTCTTGTAGTGTCAAAGTTTTCTCCAGTGTCTCGATCTCCTGCTGTTGCCTAGCTTGTTGGTCACCCTCTGATAGAAACTGCTGGAGTTCCTTGGTGACTCTCAGCAGCTGAATGTCACGAATCTTGGCCTGGAGATCTTCCGACTGCATGTCCATCTTTTTGTGCTCCCTGCAAACAACAGCAACTCTCGTTATGATGATGTCTATAACGGGGAGTGTAACTTATTGAAGTAAATAAACGCTCGTGTCAGTTAAGGTATTCGAAATTTAAGTGACTATAATTAACAAGCGAACTGAAGGGAGAAATTGATAATGTGAACAACCCATATTAAAAAAATTTCTAAAGTTGAAGTTTCCAGCGTCAGTCCAATTCGCTCTGACGGAAGGCTTGGGCTTGAAACTTCTATACGGCGGCCAATTATACATTATCAACTCAGTTGTACCAAACCATCTTGTAATACCTCCCGCCCAACCCCCACCCCCTTAACCGATGCAGCACCACAGTTCCTTTAGATTTTACCCCTTTATATCAAAAACAATTTTAATCATAAAATAGCACAATTACCACTCCAGTCGATGAATTCCTTTCCTAAACTCCTTGCTGTCCTCCATAATAGTAATCTTTCCTTTCCCGAGAGTCTGGAAACAGTCGCCAAGACAAAAATAGGATATCAGTAAAATTAAAACCTCATTATCAATCGACGAGCTTTCTCCGTGGAGATATAAAAACAGCAGAACAAAAGACAACTCAAGTAAGATAACATGGACAATCAGCGATCAGCTAATTCGGTTAATATCATTTTTTACGTTCAGTTAAAACTTAATGTAATCACAATAGCAAATCAGAGCACCGGAAAATATCACAAAAAGCCATTGAAAACTCGTTGCAAAGCCGAGAAAATTCCTTAAAGCACAGGAAATGGGAAGCGGCTAAGTCATGATTGGTTTTAGTCAGGTTACATCTGATTGGTCGAGAGAGCGGCACCAGTTTTCTGTGCCAATCATAGAGGGTAAACTGATAAAATCGCTAAATACTTTCGACACTCAACTTAAAAGCAACAGCAACAGCTGAGTCGAAGTTGACCAAAACTACCTAACATAGCATGTCGGTTTCTGGAAATTTCAAGGGAAAACTTGTCCATCTATTTCTATTACACTACCAACAAAGACTTTTCATGGAAACCTTTCTACTATAAATACGGCTTGAACAGAAAATTCCACTCACCGTAATCTGTGCATTAAGGTCCTCTACAACAGAGCGATGAATCAGAGCACTGTCTGTATAGTCTGTGATAAAGGAGCCTGGTGTAACCTCCACCTAAATTACAACACAGCGATGGTGAGCTACCTGTTAGTACTGGATTTGTTTGATGACTTTGTAAAACACTGACCTGTCCCTGTTTTAGCAACAGCTGTACTTCCAAATTTATATGAAACTTCATTTTCTCATCCCTCAATCTACAAAGACAAAAGGTTAGTCAATAGAATAAGAAAGATGAATGACTGTAAATGTATGAAAATCATGTATGTGAACTGCGGACAAAGAAACAAATATGGAAGCGATGTTCGCAGTGATGAACACTACCTAAGCAGTAGGGAAAATAAGGCCTGAAAAAAATTCAGGCCCGTACAAAAAAAAAATTACTTTTGCTACTCATCGTAGGCCATAAGTGACTAGTGCACTGCATACTGCTTGGATTATTAATGTCGGAAGCGTCATTTGTGTGAGTGGTATAAGAAAGTTGGTCAAAGGAGGTCATTGATTACCTCTGTAGTTCCTGTAAAGTGTGCTCCAGCTCTCTGTTGACTTTTTCATCGTCTTCTGTTCTCCTTTGCAAGAAGGCATTCATTTCTGCTAATATCAACGCTTTGGCCTTGACCTATTAATGAAATTATTAAAGAAATATAAAACGCGCCGAGTCCATTGTTGAGTTACATAAGCACGCGGGAATTTTTAAGAACACGAGAGAAGTGCGGAGAAGCACGAGTGTTCTTAAAAAATTCCCAAGTGCTTATATAACTCAACAATGCTCGAGGAACAATTTTTTTAAATTTCTTTTATAGAATGTATCGTGAATTGCGCGCGCTCGTACCGATGACGTAGGCTGCGTGAATTATATCTCAACAGTACACTCGCGTGACGTAAGGCGCGTGCTTTATGAAAATATAATGAAATCGTTCTCACCAATCACGGCGCGCGCATTTCTCTGAATATTTCACAAATGTCTATAAAATTTCACTTCACATACTTTGAGCATTTTTAGGTATTTGAAGAGCAAGCTTTCACGACGGCACAAACACGTAAACTCACCATGTTCTAATAGAGCAATTTTCAATTGAGTATGGAAAGTAGTCCAAGATTGCTTCGGTCTTACTCAACTTTGCTATGAACACTGCTCTCAACTTATCAAATGCAAAACCAAAAACAATCGCGATTTGATCATTCGCGTTTTCCCGCCCTTTCAGCAGTTTGCTTGTTTTCACTTCGTGTTCTCATTGGCTAACGATAATGTAAAGCTTTGTTCTGATTAGTCGCTTGGATTATTTTGATTTTATCAACGCTCAATTTTATAACTGCTCTACTCCACTAAGTGGCTATCACCATAACAGCACCGTATGCGCATTTAGGGGAGGGGTACCTTAGTGGTTTATGGCCCTAGATTTGAAATCTTGAGGTCTCACTTTCAAAATTTTTATAGTGTCACTAATTTAACTTCATGAAAAATGGGTGGGACAGTGCGTCCAGAATCACGGGAGTATTAATCATGCATTTTGCACTGATGGGTGGGAGGTCTGTAACTCCGGCTATGACCGAGGTCTTGAAAATGTACCTCCAACAAACAAATCACAGCTTTTGATTACCTAGAGTGGACATAACTCTTTTCTCGCTCAAAAACTTCACAGAAAACCCATAACTATGTCATCGTGACTAAGGTCAGAGCTAAGAAAAATCCCCAGTATGTTACGAACCAATCGAATTCTGTATTCGATTTGTAATCTGTATTCGATATTGCGCCCTCTTGGAAATAGAAGTAATCAATTCACCTGCTGTTCACTTTCGACTTTCTCTCTTCTAGTTTGCACCAGTCGTTGCCAGACAGCAGATTCCACCCCTTCAGGCATGTGCTGTTCATCATCTAGCTCATCCATTGCGCGCTCCAGGCTTCTTATGGCGACAGAATTACTACGCGAGGAAGAAGGCCTGGGACCGAATGGACTGCCTCCGTCGGGATGGTCTCCGTGTGATTCTGTGGCAGCTTTAAGTTGTTTCTGTCCTCTAAGAGAAGAAAGAGTCAGGAGAAAACTTTAAATACGAGAAACATATACCAAAAGAAATGGAGTTTCAGGGAGTCCTCGTCACGGTCCAGACCAGCAGTCGATTAATTGGAGCATTAATCCCATTTAATAGGTCTGGAAAACCCCATAACACTCGAGTTGTTTTTTGTTTTTCTGAAAACAGGATAGGACAATTGTCCATGATGCTGCAATGATCAGTAACAAATTCAAATGAAAGAAAGAAGTGATGGGGGAGGGGGGGGGCAGCACTCTTCCTGTAATAATGATGCCAGATTGGACCCGGATTTCCACATAGTTATCTTCATTAAACGTCACACTTGCTTTCCCTATTATGACATTAATTTTCTCCAAAGTTGTACATCACAGAGAAGAGAACTAGATGAACAAAAGAGATCGTGTCGGAGAGTGAGTTTGTAACGGTCCACTTCTTTCTATTCATCGAGTCTACGATAACAGGTCACCTTGTTACGTAATATTGAACGCACATTTGCTTGCACTGCTGTGCGCAGAACACGTTTCGCACAGCAGTTGTAGGGAATCCCCTTAACAAAAGTCACTCGGCTCAGTGTTAACCTGATATATATTGCAACAGTTTTCCTCACCTTGGTCTTCGTTTGAACAGTTTATACAACTGTTCTACTGTGTGCATGTCTTGGTCTGCAAACTCTTTCTTGAAAGCCTTGTCAAGCGCCTTGTCTTCAGCCAACACAATCTCGTATGAGTCACGGAACTGATCCACCTCCCGCTTAGCTTCAGCCAGCGCACCTGCAGTTTGCGTCTTCCTCTCCCTCTTTTCGTTCATCCGCCGGGTCAGCTCGTTTTCCTGATACTCCAGCTCGGATTCAGTCAGCACTGAGACCATCAGTCGCATAATTTTAAGCTCTTCCTATGGATATACAATCCACGAAGAAGACGTCAAGGTATGCATTATTCAAAAAACATTCGGACGAAGTCCAAAACGTCCCAAATGATAAAATTCGAAAAGTAATTAAAAAGAAATAAAAGGTGAAGAATGATTAAAACTTGCTCAATGAAAACCGCGCTGTGTTGTTCAAAACACGAATCAATTTAAGGTGACTAAATTCTCTAATCATAATTTTCAATAAACCAAATTTCATTTGAGCTGCGGATGAAAATCAAGGAAAGCAATGATCCTCGCAGGGGAGCTGTCATTAAAGCAATTGCAGGGAAGAAGAAACCTGAATAAAAATTCAGGCATCGACAGGATTCGAATCCAGGCCTCCCAGATACCAGCGCCACAACCAACTAAGCCACGAAACCACACGCTGGGAGCGGGGCACAGCTTAGAGGGTTCTGAATTCTCTTGATTAATACAGCGTCCTGGTTGGCCAGTTCTGACTAATTATGGGTGCCTCACTCCACCAGAATAGAAAATCCATGACGGAACACATAAATAAAGAACGATTTATCATGGCAACTGAACCAACCTGGTAAATAACCATTTCTGTTTTGACTTTCCTCTGAAATAGCTGACTAAGTTTTTCGTCAAACGAGGCTGTGGCATCAGTGATTCCGCTCTGTAACTTCTTTAGCTCAGTCTCCAGTGATTTCCGGTACTTCTCTCGATCCTCTTGAAGCTGTTGTTTCTTCTTCTCGAATTCCTTGGCCGCCTTCTGCTCCTCTTCGCTCCATTCCTCTTGTGGTTTGCTGGTGATGAATTCTGGCGGGACCAGATCTTTTTTCAGCTCGTCTTCTATATTCGCCTCCAGTCTTCCCTGCATCATCATCATCAAGGCTCGCTCTCGTGCATTGTCGCCTTTCTCCGCTAAGCGGCGTTCTACAAAGTATGAGGAGGCACACCCAAAGTAATCACAGCAGCCAATCAAAACAAAAGAAGGTAAACAGAAAGCCAGTGATAACTCAGAGCAAAACAACTGAACAACCTGAAGCGCGGGAAAACGCGGGTGACCAAGTCGCGATTGATTTAAATTTTGAATTGATTGGTTTAGAAATAGACGCGAATTTTCTGGACCAATCAAAAAGTGAAGTAAAGCTATACCAAAGGAATCCCGTATTACTTTGAAAATTGTTCTATGGACACCAAGGTTAATACAAGACGATGTTCGGTTTCAAAAACTTTGTTCACAAATTAATTGTCCCCTCTCTCTTTCCTTAGACGCAGGTTATGCTGACTTTGTTGTTCTCAAAGTATATCTACTTGTTGTTCAATACAAACCTTCTTCAATCTTTGCTTGTTCTTCAAGCTTAAGCTTCTCCTCCTCACTAATGTACTTCTCAAAGGGCACTTCACCATCCTTCACTTCCAACAGCAGCTCAGGTTTTTCGTCCACACTCATCTCCGGCTCAAAAACCTTCTCATCAATCTCAAGATCACCCAAGATCTTCTTTATCCTGTCGTTTCTTTCTTTGACTCTTTTGATTTCGGCCTCTTTCTGTTTGAAGATTTCGTCGAACTCCTTGTTGAATGCCACTTTGATTCTGTGGATAGCATCCTGGAATTACAGAGAAACGTTACTCAATTTCAGCTAGTTTTAGTTTGAAAGAAAACTATAAAAACTACGTGCGGCTGCTTTGAGCTTGTATCTCTTCTGGCCCTGATTTTGGTTGCACAAGGGAAAGAAGTGAAAAGCTTTAATCTTGCAATCCAAACATCGCCCACCAACACCAAAGAGGTCTCATAACACTCACACAGCACGAAAGATAAATCATCTCTCATTTAGGTTTATCTTCATGTAAGTAAACTTGGTTGAATTTTTGAAATTACACTGTACTTCCAATATTTTTGGAAAGCGTGTTGTCCAATGGTTGGCGCGCCTAACTCGGTATCAAAAGGTCTGGGTTCGAGACTTGGCCTGGCCATGCGCTGTGTTCTTAAGTAAGACCCTTTACTCTCACAGTGCCTCTCAGTATCTGAGCAACTGCGCACCTACCCCTCCCCTATGCCAACAACAGTTAATTGATTGCAAAATAGGATTAATGTTGGGTAGGGGAGGGGTAGGCGCGCAGTTGCTCCAGATGGGTACAAGCCAACTTATCGAAGTCCCGTCCCGCCTAATGAAGAGCAGAGGCAATATCATGCTTTGGAAACCGGGATAAGTTCGGGTAGTAATGGGCAACTAAGCTCGTAAGATTAAAATTCCCAATTTTATCAGACCTTGATTAATTTATGTAGCACGTAATAAATTTTGTCGACTTGGTCGATACCTGCAACAAAACAATCTGGTTGAGTTTCTGCTGCACCGTGTGGAGCTGGAACTGACTCTGAAACAGCTCCTGGCCGCCGCCATAAGCTGCACCACGACTTCCGGTTGTGGCCGGGTTATCTCCAGACCTCTCTCCTTCATCCTCGGCCAGAATATCCTCGTCTTCAAACTCTTGTCGGTCATCTGATTTTAATAAACGAATATTAATTCATTAAGCACTATACTGTACCTCAAATCTGTTTACTGACGTAACAACCATCTTAGGATGTTGAGGGAACACGAAGAAAGTTCAAGTTGTAAATCACCAAAGGCAAGCTATTAAAAGACTTTTCGGATGTGCCACTAACACAATTGGGTTATTAGGCCAGCAAACCAATAAAAACTGCGGTAATCACTATTAAACAATTGCTATGAGTTTATCGGCACACAAAGTAATAGGTTGTTTAACCAATCAGAGCGATAGTGGTATACTCATTAATTCATGACTGATAATAAGCGAAGGCTAAAATAAGGAGCAGAAAGAGCACATAGAAGCCCACGAAAGCTACATGAGTATAACTAATTCTGTTTTGTTTGTGCTTCTTACAAGAAAGCGAGGTTACCTAACAAACCCAATGCAGAATTAGGCACTAAATAAGCTTGTCACAACCTGAATAACAACTTAGTCAAAGTAGTTACGTCAAAATCGTTGAGTCAACAGGAAAGGAACCATAAAATATTCTTTTCAATTTCAAAATGGGTGGAAACAACCAACAGGGAACAAGAATGGATTGACATGGATTTCATATCGTTCCTTTGAAAAAAAATTCAGGCTGAATGTTACGAGAAGAACAAAATCTGACGCGGCTCTTTGAAACCAACAGCTTGTTTTCTTACCAACAAGAGGTGTATTTCTGGCCGAAGGCGGACTAGACACTACATCCTTGCTGGCTGCGGACTCAGCTTGCTCGATTTTCCTCTGGTTGATGACATACTGAACTTCATCCAGTTCTGCTTTAGTTCGCTCCTTCATAGGGTAGTTGGAGACAGACAGAGGAAGGTGAAAGGCGTTCACTGAACGTCCTTTGACGACCATGGCGTCCCAACATTCTTTTTTTATTATCTCGCGCAAGTACTGATTGGCAAGATTTGCCAATTCTATCTCCTCACGGACCTGTTGGAGAATAATCCAGCAATAGACTATGAATACGTGTACCCGGAACTAACAGCACGAATTGGAGTGATTTTCAACGGGTTTGCAATTGGTGTTACTTTACCTCGCTCTGAGAGACAGGAGACCAATCTCCACAGGGTCAAGCGCGCTTTCTCACACTTCAGAAAGTATGCTATTTCTTTTCTTTTGATTACTTCTCATTTACTCCTTACGATTGTTATAATTATCCTATATCAGACTTGACTGAATTTCTGGTTCAGTATGAACCCAAAAAATATTTGATTGGGAAAGCTTAGTGAGGTTTTCACACAAAACCGTATTCAGTACGATCATGTGGTGTTAAGAATATGATTTACACTCCTTCATGCAAATGACAAAAAAAATGCTCAAGTAACGAAAGAAATAAATTTCTTGAGGAATTTACGTTGGAACCTTGTTAAACAGGTTTTCTACAGTCCCCCTACGCATTACAAACCGAAAGGAAGAGACGATAATGTAAAGCAAGGTGTGGTATTGCCGTAAATGTTCAAACCTGCTTTCCGTACCTGTTTAATTTTCTCTTCCCCTTCTAAAATTAATTTCTGCCGCTGATCGACATCCAAGTTGTACTCATATCTATCCAGTTTTTCTATTTCCGGTGCTTGCTGGTTGTCACCCATCATCTGCAGCACGGTGTGACGTAATTCTTGAATCTCCTGACGTAACTTCCGCTTTATCTCAGCGAATTTTTTGGCCTCTTCACGTTGGGTCTGCAGAAGCATATAAAAATTTGAGGATGCAAATATCCTCCAAAACTGAGATTCCCCGCCCCTCAAGTTTCTTTTTGACTATGAGCACGATACAACACCTGCAATTCATTTTTTTACGTTTACGTTTAGCGCAAGTCCAGAAACGATTGTATGGTGCTGTATGTTCAATCAGTTCTCTATCTCCTCAATCTCCCTCCCTTGCACTTTCCTCTCCTAACCGCCCTCCCCTTCCATCCACGTCCCTTCCCTCCCGTCCCCTATCCTGAACTGTCACGTAAAAATAGCCAAGGCAGTTTAGTCCATAGTTTTCTCTTGGGTTTATGGTCCGTAAGGCAGCCTTAAAACTCTCTGACACGAAATCCCTCTCAGTACTAGATCTTTCATTTAATCGTAAAAAGAGACGAGAATTTGCAAATGATATTTCCGCATCCAGAAGATCGATCCTTGTCCAGAAATTGTTTGCCTGGAGGTCATCCAATACACAGAAAAACATAATACTGCCACGAACATGAACCCTCGATCAACAATAATCAAGGCAAAATTGCCCATTTCCATGGTCATTCTTCCATTTCTATACCTCGCTGACAGCTTTCTCAAGCCAGGTTGCATCTTCTGAGGGAGTAGGGGTGGGGGTGGTGTAGATACCATCTTTGATAACTTTCTGTTGTTTCTCGCTCGCCTCAGTGTTCGCTTTCTCGACCGGCGAGAGAGATCTGGGCACGTATTCCCCTCGTTCAGCCGCCAGACTGTCTTCGTCCTTTCGCATGGTGGTCAGCAGTGATGAGCGCGCACGCGCAGCATCTATGGCTGCTGTCGCCTTGCCTTTGCCTGAAGAAATGAATCAATGAATAAACAAAAAGAATATTTAAAAAAAGAAAAAAAGAAACAGGGAACTTATTTCAAGAAGGAAAGATACCTATAAAAAGTTAAACAAATTTATCATAAAACCCGATATAAATAATAAAAATTCCTCAGTATTTTAACATCTTCATTTTCCATACACTACGATACCAGATATTGTCGTCATGACCGGAACCTGGTACATCACCATGGGGTTTGTGTTCTTATCGCAGGGTTCATGTTTTGAGTCGTTTCCTCACTATTCAGTTTCTATCTCTTAAAGTAATACTACCGGGAGATTTTTATCTTCGCTTACTCCTGAGTGAAAAATATAAGTCGTACACATGCAATTGAGTGGCAGAGTAGAGGACTTAAACCTTCGATCTTCAGATTACAAATCCAAAGTTATAAACCACCCTACCTCTTAGCCTCCTAAGAAGTGCTTTTCATCCTATTAAGCCATTATTCGACAAAGTGGAAGTAAATATCTACTACTTAAATCAACACTGAGGTGGATAAATATTTTAGAAAAATACCACACACCAATTGGTTTATTTCTGTAAATATACCAAAAACCGGTCGGAAATTTGAATCTTGACGCGCGATTTAGTCTCTTCGGCTGTTCCGATGTGAATAGTACTTGTTAATGACTTACACACCAGCCAAAAAGCGCACTAATCACCTGTGTAGTGTATTCTAACATAATTTATCGCCGTATTACCTGTTGATGTGAAGTTCCAAACCCAGCAGGCCAACACACCGTCAGCACCTGTACTGAGCACGTGTTGTGAGTCACCGGTAAAACAGACGTGAGACGCTCCGCCTCTTTTGTAATGATGTGCAGAAACACACAATGTACGATCCTGTGAACGCAGAAAACGTATTTTAATGTAGTGACTGAACAAAGAGATAAAAATACATCTAAATTGTTAGGCAGTGACGCAGAAGTTTGACGGGAACGAGAGAAATACGCGCGCCCGCATGTGCCAGTCCTAATCACTCGTGCAAACTTGCATCGAGCGCCTTACAAAATCGTCCGCCTGTTTGGTCGTCCAATGCACATGGTCGTCATATTGAAAGTCACGCTGGGCCTCAACAGAACGTTAAGAATGATTTAAAATATTTTGAAAAAATGACAAACTCCTACAACAATTTTAAATTCCCTAAGATACTTCATAAGGAGTTCCTCTCTGCAGAATAATCTCTTGAAACAAATATTTCCTGGGGTAGAAAAAACCCTTTGAGGCAAGGAAAAGAGAGAAATGCACGAAGATGACAAGAAGATGGCAAGAAAGAAGAACCAAGATGAAAACCTTTGAGGAAGAGGCATGGTCCACAAACCATACAATCTTTATCACCGCCACTAACAAGTATACGAAAAAAGGTATAGCTTTACACGTATTGAGATTTCAAAGAATGCCCTTGTCGGTCAAAAAATTGTGGACAGCGGAGGCGACTTTTCGACTGTGGTCGCCGTCATTACACACACACGTTCACAAAAAAACAAAACGAGAAAATCAAGTACGCTGGCCTTACACTCATCAAATAAGTGTAAAATTCACTAACTGCTGCTGTTCTGTTTATCAAAAATAATAATTATCTTAGTTAAGAATGCCTTTTTGCGTAGCTCCTAACTGTTTAAGCGGATCGCCAATAGTTGAAAAAAAGAGAAGTCAGATTTTGTCAGCTGACAGGTGTTAAAGTTAATCGTATTTTAGACTCCGTAAGGAAACAACATCAAGGAACCCATCAAAGTGCATGCAATTGACAACCGAGTACCGTAGATGATCAATGGTAGGCGACCAGTCACAAAGGCGTTGAAATCCACGTGATCTCTGGCGAGTAACTTGGCAAACAAACACGGGAAGAACTGCTCAGCACGAGTGCAAATCACAAACAGCGCACGTATTGTGTGCAATCGCAGGAGCCCTTCGGGCTCTTGCAATTTCGCTGTCTTTGAAAAATTTACTCGTACTTATTGAAGAAATAAAAAACGCGCCGAGTGCATTGTTGAGTTATATAAGCACGCGAGAATTTTTAAGAACATGAGAGAAGTGCAGAGAAGCACGAGTGTTCTTAAAAATTCCCAAGTGCTTATAACTCAACAATGCTCGAGGAACGAGATTTTTTATTTCTTTTATAAAATGTATCGTGAATTTCGCGCGCTCGTACCGATGACGTAGGCTGCATGCATTATATCTCAACAGAGCACTCGTGTGACGTAAGGCGCGTGCTTTATGGAAATATAATGAACTCGTCATGACCAATCGCAGCGCGCTCATTTCTCTGAACATTTCATAATAAAACCATATTGCACTCAAAATCATGTAATTACCAATACAAATTTCGTTGAAAATCAGACTGGGCTAAAATTGGCCTATAAAAATTACTTAACTTTACACAAAATCTAAAAAGTTCTCACCAATGCACCAACAGCTCTGAGGAGAAGTTTTCCATCAGGTGAACAGCTGGCGAGCCATCTTAAATGTGGAGACAGAACAACGCGTCCTCCGTGCAGCTCATGACCATGGTATGACCCTGAAGGCTGCAGCTTGGAATCTGGTGGAACACTCTGAAAAAAGACATTCATTCATTGTATTCACACGAAATAAAAATTGGACAGAAATTATTCTTTTCATTGTACTTCTTAAGGTGATTCCTTGAAATTTATTTCTGTAATAGTTCTACAAATACTACTAATAATGATAATAATAATAATAATAATAACAATAATAATAATAATAAAAATAAGCCGTAATAATACTGAAAATTGACTTTGTAAATATCTCTGAACAGGATAATTCTAAAGAAAGGGACTAAAACATTTTGCGCCAGCCGCCGTGACGGTAACAAATGACGATTATGATAAAAGGAACTGAAACGTTTTCATTGCTATTACCTTGCCCTCTGCGGCCAATGTAAGTTTAACTATTTCTTTTCTTGCGTGTGCTACTGTCAAAGCGGTCTGCGGACTGGTCAACACAACACTGTAACAAGGAGATGCTAACAGATGAACGACTTTCTTCACCATTTCATCTCTGTACAGAAGAGTCTTGTTCAAGAAGGCCTCCTTGGCCCCTGTGCATGGCAGGAAAAAAGATAACAAGTTTAATGAGATAGTTGTGAAAAGATTACATGCCTTCGGCAAGAACACAAGAAAATACGCGCAAAAGAAGGTCGTTCGCCTCGATTCTCGTGCACACGTGCCACTTGTCACTCGCGTTTCCCACTCTAATTATCATGCAACCTGTCAAATCAAATCAATCGCCAGATATGTAGGCTATTTTAAGTACTCACAGATATCCCGGGTAGTCTGCGGGGGGGGAGGGGGGGGGGTTACAAACACAGACACACCTTGCCTGTCCACTATAAAAAAGGACTGATACCAGTGAGTACAAGAAGGGGATTACCTCTCTCGTTTTCTCCCTTCCCATCACATTTCACGTTCATACTGTCCGCGTAGGTTACCCGCGCTTTGAAAATGACTCAGGACGATTCAGCAAGAAACGGGAAATATTTCTTCAAGAGTAGAAAACAAACAAACCACAACTGCGGTAATTTTCGACGCCTACCGTTCAAAAAATCCATGGTAACTTCAAATTCTAGTAGCTTTGTTGCAAATGTTTTATCACTATTCGTACGGTAGGCCACAGCTATCTTCCATGGTCCCTGGCTGTCTTTTTCTCGAGCATTCAGAGTAGTTATTGAACACACTGTGCCTTCCAGGTCTTTATGCACAAAAGGACAAAATTAAAAATTAATATGAGCCACATTAAAAAATACTTGTTACGTGATTTAGTGCACTTTTTTTCTTTGTCAAACAGTATCTCCACATTTATTCATTAATGGTTTAGCACTTGGTCGTGTCATCTTATCTTTTGGCCGAGGGAAATCTAGAGAAGGACTGTTGTTGGTGGGAGTTACTGACGTTTTGACAATCTCAGCGACAGTCCACATCAGAGTCAGGAGAAGAGCTTTTGCCAGGCGAGTATTACAAATCTGGTTCGTGTAAACTGATTGGTCAGTTTTGCCGTAAGTCGGTCTCGATTGGTCAGTTTCGATCTATCGGGATAGTGAAGTTATTTCTTGAGCGGGATGAGAAAAACTAGGGCTGATAGTGGAAGCTCTTATGGTAGTCTAATGAATGCTCCCAACTTTTCTTGCTGGGAAACTATTCAGAATAAAATACTAGGCTTGAGCTTCTAGTTCTGCTATCTCTGTTCATAAACAAAGCACCTAAACCAGTACCTAATCGCCCAAGCACTTTGAAGTTGTTGCTGACTCTTGCATCACACACGAAGACATGTCCATCATTTGAGCCTGTTACATATATCTGACCACTCCAATCATAACTGTGAGTGAAGTTAGAGCAATAAAATACATCAGTTGTCAAGAATTCAATGCTTGGATGAATCGAGCTACAGTTCCAACAATAAAATAAAGCAGTTAATGGTGAATCTCTAGAGAAGTTGTATGCAGCTGCACCAGAAAACATAACAACTCCAACTTCCCCTAAACCGCCCGTAACTGCCCATAAAAAATGGCGATCGTATTACAATCTCGCCCCACTCTCCCCCAGTAGATCTTTGTGTTTTGTTTCCATAGTGACTCGGGAGAATAATTAAGCAGTAAAGAAAACCAGGCTTGAAAAAAATTCAGGCCTGTATAGGATTTGAACCCATGACCTCTGCAATACTGGTGCAGTGCTCTACCAACTGAGCTAACAAGCCAACTGGGAGTGGTCATTATGTCGGTTCCTACTAAACCCGTGAAGTAATGAATCAATGACTGTAAATACATGAAAATCATATATGTGAACTGCAGTTTAAGAAATGAATGTTGAAAGCAAACTTTACGGTAATGACCTACCAAAGTTGCAAAACTGGCCCATGGTGAATGTGGATCCTGTAAATAAGACGAGGCTGCTCAATGTTTGTCATCTCAACAAAGTAGATATGGCCAGTAAGAGAACCTATGGCCACTGTGCTGGAGGATGGACTACACTGTATACATGAAGCCTGTAAAGAAGAGTGGGAAATGATGTCATCAGTACTTACATAAAGTATAAGATGTGGACTTGATAAGAAAATTCACATCAAGACATGCAAATTTTTGGACATGGGAAGGGGTATACAAAACACAAGGATGAATAACAGTTACACTCGCATGATGCATACACACTGAGCTATTGGTGCATAACTTTGATTGCAGCAGGAAAAATATAACTGCATTGCAAATTTTCCAAAAAGGAAGGCAAATAGAACTAAGAATCATTGACAGAAAAAAATAGAAAAGAAAGAAGGACTCCAAACCCTAGTTTCTCTTGGGATTCCTAAATATGTACCTGGCACTCAAGATGGATTTTAGACAAAAGTTTGCTTGTTTCAATGTCCCATGTTTGCACCAAACCATCTGCTTTACAAGTCTGTAAAATATGAAAGTTAAGAAAAATAATTTTTCATTCACAGTCTATAACCTGCTACAATAACACTTGAGGCCTAACTGATGTACATTCTCAAGGTTGAAACTGTAATTAAACATACTTACTATGAACTGTTAACATACTAAAATAATAATAATGCTAAGAGTCAAGAAGTACATTCCCCTTTTGTCAGGAGGGTGTGACGAAGAAAAAAATAGATTCCTCTCCAAGAATCTTAAAATAAAATGATAGAGTTTATGTTCTAGGGCATAAATATATTTTGGGCCTGACTCAGAGTTATTTTAACCTGAGCCTTCAGGCCAGGATTAAAATGACTCTGAGTAGGGACCAAAACATATTTAGGCTCAAAAACGTGAACAGTAGTACAGACTATTATTACGACTTTGGAGGGCACTGAGAAAATAAAAACTGAAAAAATAACAACAACACAATTGACACAACCACAAGAATGTATTCAAGTCTTACAGGTTTTATTTTCCCTCAATGAAAATACACCTTCCAGTGAAACTGGCAAGAAATTTCAAAATCTTGCCATGTGAGTTTTTTTCAAAAATTGTTAAAAGCATGAAAGGGAAGTCCAAGCTTATCTACAGCTTATTTGTTTATTAGCTGCTTACATTGGGCAATTGTTTGTTGAATGAAACATTTTAGCCCACAAAAGGCACCATCATGCCCAACATAATGATAATAATAATATTGAATCTCAGACCCTCTGAAATTGGATGTTAACCCTGTTTTACCCATTCAGTTACAAATGACTTGATAGCAAGTCAGGCCATATGAACATGACAAACCATTTACTAAATACAAAATCATTGTATTGTTTACCATAAAATTAAAACACTATTCCTTCCATCTCTTACCACACAGTACTGACTTCCTCCTGCCAGACAGTCAACACCCACAAACTCAGCATTATGAATATTAAACAGCTCTGCCACAGATCCTTCAGAATCATAGAGATGTACAGACCCCTGAAATAATACAATGTATTATTGCAATTTTTTCTTTTTAGTTTAAGGTAAAAGCCACCAGCACTTTTTTTAATTCGTGTGGAAGAAATTATTTTTTCACTTTACTGTATTCTCTCATAGATGTCTTGATCATTACCATTATAATTTCCTCAAATGTGATTGGTGCGTTGGCTGCTTCATTTTTCACAAATTCTGTACAGTTATAATCAGACAGTAAAAGCAATCACAGAATTGATCACAATAACCATAGGAACAATCACTTATCCTGAAAAAAGAATCTGGGAAATTTTTTTTCTTTAGACATAGTTTCTACTAGAGATGTTTGTCCTAAATGTATTTTTTTTCCAAAAATGTAATGGTAATGACTAATTGGTAACAGGACTTCATGTTGTCCAGTTCAGTCTGTAATCATACTCATGATTGACAAATTGGTCTCCTGCTTTGCTGTCTTCTGATTTTGTTAATCAATCATATGATCACAGACCAAATTGGTCCTCCACTCAGTCCCATTATTTAATAAATGAAAATCCATTGGCACCTACCTTGGAACTCCCAAGGGCTAAGGAGCGATAGTTTGGTGACCAGTCAAGACTTGTCACAGCACAACCAATGTCCAACTGCTCCAAGACTTTAAGCTCAGTTGATTTTATGTCCCAACATCTCAATACTCCATTCTGTTAAAAATGGAATTTATTCAAAAGGTATCTGGAAAGTGGGGCAGTAAATATTACCTGAATAGAGGGTGTCTAGCCAAAGTCACGCATAATTGCATGTATTCATCATTTATTTAAAAACATCCACACGCCTATCATACTTAACACAAGTGTGAAAATACATATTAGAAAATGAAAACCTGCTAATAAACTCTCAACAAAGAAAAATATTTATCTATATGGTGCATAGCTTTACCGGGGAAAATAAACACAACAACACTGCTTCATAAAAAGTGGACATAAACATTGATCCACAAAACCTGACAAATTACTTGACATAATTACGTAACATTATACAATGGTATAAATGTCAAGTACACAATGCAATAAATGAAACATACAAACACTCACATGTAATTTACAACAATGCACACAAGAAACTGTATGAAAATAATTTTTGCAGTTACAGGGTTTGTGAGATTTAGTTCTCAGAGGTTACTTGTGAGATTGAGTTCAGCCATTTTTCACACCAAATAACCAAATTATCTTGCTTCAATGTCACAAAATGGTGCAAAAAATAAGAAGATAGGAATAATAAAACAAAATTTAACCAACCTGCCCAGCAATATACAGTCCCTTCTTATGTAAAGCCAGACAATCTGCTGAACCTGGTCCAACATCCAGGGACAAATCACTACCCTTAGGCTTTTCGTCATTATCAGGATCTCCACCTAGCAAGAATAGATCAGATTTGCAGTCATAAATGCGGTTACAGCTAAATGCAATTTAACAGAGTTAACAACAAAGAGCATCAGTGTTTTCTGGTAGTCAGCAGTTTTCGCATATGCACATGTGTGGGAATTCCCATTTGCTCTGCATTGGAGGCATTCTTGTGTGTACTTTGAGCATGTGCTTGTAACATTGCAAGGAGTGGTAGTTCTTCATTCAGGCAGTTTTTCCCCACTTATACCCTCCCTCTTTCTACCATCTATTCAGTGTGACAGGTGCCTGTTCCCCTTTCCTATGTGGGGGCTCATAACTGGGTTGCCAGGATTTGCCAGCCATGGGAGAAGTCTCCATCTAGGAGCTGGCTGCCAATAGTGGAAGCTCCTGGATGTTTCAGGCACCCAACCTTCAATTAGTGATGCAGTTGTTAATTTAAATATAAGTGAAATTATTACAACTTCTGGAGTCTGTAAACTACCAACACCAAATGCTACCACTCTTGAACAGTGGCCCATTTTAATATATTGCCTACTTGCAGTATTTCTTATTTTGTGACATTAATAATGGTAATTGAACTGAGTGGAGTGCAATTTGGTCTGAAAACACATGCACAATCTCAAAATCAAACAAATGCTGAGCACAAGTTTGATTTAAGATCACAATTACAATAGGCCATTTTACAGTTGTGTAATTAGTTGCCAAGCCTTTGATTTGGAGTGAGGCTGAAGGTGACCTTGTTGTGATAGAGACCAGTATCCAATTAGCATGATAACAAAGTAATTTGCATTTGAAAACAGCGAGGTTTGTATCATAACAAGGTCACCCTTAGCCTCACTCCTGTTCAAAGGCTTGGCAACCAAGCATGCAACTGTAAAATGGACTATTTCGGACCAAAATTGCTTGACACAAACTTCAATTACCACTTTTTGCATTATAATTCAGAAAAGAAACATGTGAAGCTTCTCTTCTGCCATTTCTACTGTGACTTACTTTTCCCTTCTGCCATTTCTGCTATAACTTCCATGGTGGTCTTCCTCAATAAAGACTGAGTATCTGTTCTGTCCTGTTGCAAACCCTTTGTATTTGGGTTCAGTACCATAGTGACTTGGTTGTTTTCTGTGTCAATGCAGATCACCTGACCTCCTTTACAACCACAGTAAAGTTTACTGTCTGGTGTCCAACAATGGTTGACAGGCTCACATCTTTCCTTTTTCTCACCTAAAACAAAGAAATGCCACCCTCTATTAATTGACATTAAAAAAAATCACAATTGTATAAAATTATATAAAAAAATTACAATTTACACCTAACATATGTTGTAGTTCATAAATATTGCAAGACAAAATGCTTTGAAACCTGATTAAATTTGTATTTTCCTCAGTTCCAGATCAATTATTAAAATTCATTCTTAACAAGAAAAATATAAATCAACCAAATCTGAAATAATTTCAAACTTAATTTCAGCATGACTGTACTATGGAATGAGAATAAATGTAATCTGAGAGAACAGAAAAAAAAAGATTATTCAAACTTATAGAATTCAAAATATTTCTGTTAAGGCCTCTCAAAGAAAGTTTATTCTTTTTCTGGAATATCTGAGATTATCTCTGACATATTTAGAGTAACATATGTAATAAAAGTAGTCAACTCTAAAGAATTAATGTAATTATAGTAAATGTAGTTATCTAATAAACCTCAAAGTCATTACCAATTTATGATCAGGTATTTCCTGTTTTTATATACATGCTAAGCTGCATATATCCTTAACCCTTTCACTTGCAAGATCTCTTTTAATTAGTAATTCTTCTTACTGTCAGTCATACAATTCATATGATATTACTTTGGAGAACTTGGTATTGGATCAACTAACAATCAATACCCAGTAAAAAGGTACTAGACTATTTTCAAAGAATTCCTCTTTTTTTCCCTCTCTTTTCATTTACCTCAGTCTATATCACAGAAATTTGACAAGACAGGCTGAACTCTATTTGGTTTTTCAAAAAGAAGAAAAGTATCAAACTTTTACCTGGCTCATAACTCTTTGCATTCTCTCCTACTAATCCAGCTATGGCTGCTTTAGTAATTCTATATCCTTCTGGATGGCTCATACGACTAACAGACTGCCCCAAGTCTTCAAATTCATCATCATCTAGACTTCCATCAGCTGGAGGCAGTCTTACAGAACTAATAACAACAACAAAATCTTTTATTAGCTTCCTAGACATTTTACCAAAAGCTCTGTTGAAATACTTGTGGGTGGAGAGAGATACCATATATAAATTGTTCTTCTCAGAATATTAAACTCAATCCCAGCAAAGAGTTGTGCCCAAAAGACAAAGATGTGAATATTATCATTAGCTTGGAATATAAGTATAGCTGCAATAAATTATGTGAATTGATATATACAGTGGATAGTCTGAAACTTTGAGAGTGATTTCAAGAACTATGCGTCAGTTGCACTTTCTATATGTGATCACACTTTAATTAGTGTGATAAAGTGTGATTTCACTTTCTGAGTGTGATCACATTTACATGTATGATCACATTTTTATTATTACCAGGGGGAGGCCAAAGACCATCACACTTCCCATGTGAAGCATTTATAGAAACCAGGCTTTAATGGCTGACACTTTGAAAAAGACCTTCAGAATGTTTTCTTTTTTTACAAAATGTGCACAACAATTTGTATGAGACACAAACACAGACCTTGAGACTAGTGAATACTTGGTATTGAGCTGGCCAACATTCCACAGCATCAGGACATCACTTGACACAGTACATAACTGACGCCAGTTTGTTGGGTTGAATGACAGTCCAGTACACAAATGTCTTCCAACATCAATTGAGCATAGCTTTATCTTCTCACACCAGTTCCTGAAGATGTTCAATATTTAATGATGATCAAATATTATAATATTTACTGGAACTTATATCCACATTATCCATCATTTTAAGAGGAAAGCAAAATTTATATAAAGTAATCAAAAATTTTAATTCATATCTCTTCATGTTTTAGATTTACAGTTTTCACTGAATCTCAATGACTTTTTAGGCTGAAGATTTACCATTTCATATAATTTTCAAAACAGTTGGAGAAAAAAGTAGGTCCTAACAATGCTTACCAGTCGTTTTGTACCCATGGATCTTTCATTCCCAGACAATTTGTACCCAGGCTCAGATGTTTTGTACCCATTTTTGATCAGTAACCAACAAATTATGACAAAATGTTTAAAACAAACATAAACATTTACTTCATTGGGTATGAATAGGTACGAATCATCTGAGTATGAAAGATCCATGGGAACGAAACAACTAGATACCCCAACAATTACTATAATTGTAAAAGTGAATTTTAAGGTGTAACACATTTAAGTCACAACACAAAGAGCAAATTACCCTAGGAAAAAAAAATTTAAATACAGCTGAACTTCTCACCAGACAGTAAGTTGAAAATCTGGAATCCCTGAATGTGTTGCCAAGATGCTGCTATTATTGGCAAAAGCAATGCAGGAGTATGTCAATCTTGCACCACCTAAAGAATGAAAACATATCATATTTAGTAAATCAATTATAAATTGTGGCCTAAATAGGTCATTTCCGAATTTACTTTTGCCTCTTTAAAAATAAGGCCTGGTGCTAAACCATTCATATGAAAATGAGTTTAATTTGTATGTGAATAAAAACTTATAACCATGTGAAAGGATGAGCACCAGGACTCACTTTGAAAATAGGGGCCAACCATATTTCAGAAATGACCTATTAACTTGAGTGTTGGTCTGAAGGCTCTGCTGAGTCAACAAAAGCCAACATTCTGAATAACTATCCCTGCTCTTTTCTCCTGTAATTCTTTAACTGTCTGTTCTTTCCTGAACCATTTCTAGGCCATTAAATTTTTTTCAGGTTAAATTTTAGTCACAGGTCTGTTCATGAATTTTATGTATGAGATTCTTAACACATGACTTGGGCCTTGTAATCCGTGACATGAGGTTTGAGCAGCTGTAATAGGTAATTATCAAGAAACAAAGTTTACCTTCAAGAACAGCTCGTGGTCTTGAAAAGTCAGGGAAAGTATAGATAAAAAGCTTGGGGTTAACTCTCAGTTCAGCAAAAGCAATGCTACTGGTGGAAGAGTTCACAGCAAATGCTCCAATTCCATCCCCAGGACTGGATAAAACTGACTCCCTCTTGTCTTTCGTATTTACAAATTTAATGTTGTTCCCACAGATAAAGCAGACAGTGTCCCTGTTGACAAACAATGCTGGGGAGCCATTATATCCCTGGGCCCACCTGGTAAACATAATAAGAGGTTAAGTCATATTACTGCTGCATGATTAAATGCGTCGCAAAGACATATTTAAAACATAACCCTCCTTCTAAATGAAACACTTAACGCAAATTAAAAATAAAATGTCCCTAGCCTTGGAGATAAAAACGTCAGCTTTCTCCTGAAAAACGAGCACAAACAACAGTACATCCTATTTTGTAACAAAACCATCAAAAGCGATAACAATTTTCAATGAACAATTTGAGCTAATCCCTTGCGTATTTTAAAGCTCGATCATGTAAATTAATCGATATGATACTTCTACTAAACTGTGCGACATGAGAAATTATATCAAACATCAACTTTTATGAGATTAGCTAGAACGAGGCTTCTGGCTCTGCAAACAGACATGAGAGACGTTGCGTGTTACTACCTTTTTGATTGACCCAAATGTCTGGATTCAATCATCAAATGGTATCAAGATATATAAATAATTCTTACCCGAGCTCAAGGGTTCCAAACTGATCCATTTTCAGAGTCAAAACAAGTAAACATCTAAACTTCAAGGAGCCCTGCTAAATTTCACCGCCATTGCTATTTTTTTCTGTCGTTGCCATGGACGCAACTCCGCTGACCAACTTTTTATATCATGTCCTTAGCTCTTCACCAGTCTCCTTACTTGTTGAGAGCTGCTGCTCAGGGCCAATCAAGGTAAATTGAGGTAAATCGCGGTAAATCGCCTTTTCGGATTTCAGTGGATGGACCCAATGAACTAGCATCCTTTTTTGCATTCACAGGCTTCTCGTAGAGTCTCGCTGACCCACTCTGCCCACCCGAGGAAGATCTATAAGTGGCTGGGCACGAGAAATGTCTAGATAGCCAATCTACTTCACACTACTTTTGAGAAATGGACTCCTTGCAAAAACAAACGGCAAGTCTTCGTAAAAGGAACGGCGCTGAATTTCTACGTTAAAAACGACAACCGCTGAGTGAAATCCTTTTACTTCAAGAGATACTGGAGAAATAATTGACATCTTTTTCTTGAAAAACACCCTGTGGGAACAGTATCACGAAGGGCATGCGCAGCTCTCACCAATCCTGATGTTATTTTCACGCCATAAGGCATCTCTATTTTGTCAACAGTCTTTTAGTACACGAGTGGGTTTCAATTTTTTTATTTGTTTATAAAGTTTGACAAGCCAGAGAGAGTCTGTACAATTTTCACGTGTAAGAAGGGAGACAAAGCGTTTGAAAAAAAATGTGATATTGTCTGGGATGATTCCGCTGTTAACATAAATGTCCAAAAGAGAGGAAGGAAACAAAAAACATATCGCAAGTTTCTCTAAACCCTGGATATCAGGAGTTTGTTTGTTATAACCTTAACTGAACTAAAAATAACACAGAAACATCGAATGCTAAAGCTGACAAAGAGTAAACGACACAAGAACTGAAAACTGCGGGATGAAAAATAGAACTTACGAAAAAATGACTGAGACATCGCAATTACTCCCCATTCAAAATACATTATTATCGATTCAAGGTGACTTAAGGCCACGGCAGTCCGTCGTTCACTTCATTTCTCGTTAATATCACTCTGCAGTGATGACTACATTACGCATCAACAGTAACAAAAAAGAATACATTCCACCAATAAGTTATAACATCACAACTACCTCGACCGACGAAAAACCCTTATGTACAAGTTAGGTTTACTGCCGTTAGCTCAGAATAACAATGAAAACCCTCATAAAAAAAATTTTCACTGGAAAGCGAATCTTAACAGTTGAAGAACCAAATTGAAAATAAAGTATAAAAGTAATTTTCAAGGTATGGTCTGCGCACAGGAGACATCGACTCCACCAAGGATATAGAGAAAGAGAGAGCGAGAGAGAGATGTAGAGAAAATCCGCAACTTAACAAGAACTAGGGGCTAACGACATCATGTCGAGAATCATTCATACACGATTACAACAATTTTAGCTTAGTGTTAACGCTAAACGTAGGTGGCTAAGAATACCGGTGTACTGACAAACATGGTCTCTTTCGTAACCGTCTTTTGGGATGCCACGGAACAGGGCAACGCTAGGTTACATGCAAAAGAACGGCTTCGAGGGAGACCGTGACAAACAAGACCCTTTTTTAAACAAGAATGTTCTCCCCTTGTTAGTAGAGTTCACTGATTAATTGTCTGGCTCGTTATTGCTTTCTTAGGAGAAAGCTAAGATTTCACCAATCCCCCGTCACCTTCGCTGACAAAGCGCTTTCGTCCTCTGCAACACAAAGGAAAACACACTACTTAGAAACAAAGAAGAAACCACACAATATGTATATCTTACCGATAAAAAGGATTGAACAAGACTACAACCATTAGGGGAACCGTGGACAATTTTAAAACCGCGCACCGACTCCTGTTACACCGAGGAAAGGTAGCTGGTCATAATTTCAACAAAGGGGTACGTTTTTTGAAGAAACTGTGGTGCTGCGTCGGTGGGAGAGTATAACAAAGTAATTTGGTAATATCAACTAAGTTGATAACTTAAATTGGCCACCGTAAAGAGTTTCAAAGCTTACGTTTCGAGCGTTAGCCCTCCATCGCTCTGATCTCAGCTCTAAAACTATTTACGGTGGCCAATTTACGTTATCAACTCAGTTGATGATACCAGATTATTAGTCATAATTTCAGCCGAGCTTGCCTTGAATTTACCGGAATGTTATAGCGAAAAAGGGAAAAAAAGAGGTTTGCATCCAGGTGATGGTTGAGTGACACCAATCTTGGTCCAGCGGCAAAAGGCAAAAATAATTTTCTAAAACTTTACCAATTATTACAGAGTGTGTTTAAGCATATGTAGAAGTTTCAACTAGTACACTGAGAATAAGTATTTCCTGGTTATAAAATGTGCTCAATTAATTCTTTTAAAACTAATTCGGCAAATGAGGAAGACTTCTCCCACTCATTGTTTGAGGCTCGAGACTGAATCTACGGTTAAATAATGGTAGGCATACGCGGAGCCATTACTATTAGTATTGGTGAAACCTTGCACGTACACATACCTGGAAGGGACTTTCATAGTAAAGGAGATTGGAATGATTCCATCGCGGGCACACATGTCAGTGAACTTTTCCAGAAGTGTATGGGCATGTGGAATATCCAGTTGGATATCGGAAAAAGAGTCAAACACACGTTGAAAACCCTGTTAAATAAAGCAGAGAAAAAAAAACAGTCTTCAATGAAAAAAACCTTTTAACATTCCAGAGACTAGGGGTACCACAGGATTTTAGTTTTTCAACTTTCTTCACCCAAAGAACTCACAACCAACTTACATTCTTAATTTGGTCCGGTTTGACAATGTTAGTGTTTGAGAAGAACTGTAATAAATTCTTCATGAGGGTCATCACTCGATCATGCTCATCTTCCAAAGTCATAATGATTGCCTGTTGACAGATAACAACAACAACAACAAAGTCAGACCTGGTGCAGATGAGGAATGATCCAAATCTAATGCCTTATCACACCAAAACTTACGCGTGTTTTAAAGATGTTATGTTAAACACGTTTTAAAATTGTAATCTACATTGAAACTGCTTCAACCGATGTTTGTCGACTTCAAATTTAGCTCAGTGAAAAAAAAAAAGTTAGTGAATAATTGAAACCTATGGAAAACTCAGGTGACATTGACATCCTTGAGAAAACGAGATGCTTGTGACATGAATCTTCAGTTTAATATCTTCAGGTACGACAAGTGTCTTTTTCAGCAGAGCATTGGGAATATTCATTAAAAGTTTAAGGTTGGATAAATAAGGGCATGTTTCGGAGCTCAGTTATCAACAGTGACCATCATACCTCATAAACCAGCTCATGATAGAAATGTGGCACTTCCAACTCCTGGACGCAACGACTTGCCTGGGAAAGGAAAAAAAGGCAATCAAACATAAAAATACTTCCTCTAACTCTTCCAGTTCTTACTCACGCCAAGGGAGATTTGTTTCCTTAATGGAGAAGGCATCCAAAACAAAATAGACAAGTAAAAAAAGAGGCTGCACCACTTGCTCTTCTACTATTACTCTTCCAGTTGTTGTCAATGAACCAAAAAAAAAAAAAAAGGAGGTTGTCTGGTGTCACATTAAGCAAGTGCTTATCATTTTTGGGTCAAAATTGCCTTTTTTAAATGTATTTGGTTCTCATCTCAAAACAACCATCCAAAAAGATAACAACCATTTATCACTTGGAAAATCATTGATTCGTTTTAGTACTAAAAACTTTACTTACTTCTTCAATATCTTCTGAAGACAAATACTCTTTCAGCAACAAAACCATCTGCAAACAAAAACTACACATAAGAGAGTTGACTCTTACAGGATGGATTACAATCCAAGGCTATCAAAGCTAATTCCCTCACAACGCCGACACACCTCAGCTAATGGTTCATGAACTGGAGAACTGCAAAGACAAATGTACCGCACAAACCATTTGCAACAACTAAAGGTTACTTTTGGTTGATAAAATGCATTGAATTTGCCTGCAATTTAATCATTTGTGAAACCCTGACCTATCTAAATGTAAAGCTTCTTTTTTATAAATTTTGCAAAGATAATTTTCATCAACATTATTCACTCAAGGTCTCTTGAACTCTGCTAATTAAACAAACCTTTTTCACAAGATACTTGACTGGGCGTCTTCCTCCAGCCACACCCCACACACTATCCAATCGTACCATCCCATGTTTCATTTTCAGCAGCACACCTGCTTCAGCCAAGGCTTTGCTGTCAAAATAGTGAACAAACAGGTTATTTTCTTGAACATGTTATCAGCTATAAAATGAAACAGGCAGTTAACTATCAATACAAAATTGTACTTACGCTTGATTGGAATTAGGAGGAGCATCTCCCAAATTACTAACAAAAGCTGGTGGCAAACAGTCATCAGCAATAGCACGAGCAATGAACTTTCCCACCATCTTGGAAAAGCAAAAAACTCTAGTTTAGTGCAAACAATCTACGAATAGCATCATACAAGGTTGTTGAAAAAAGAGAAAGAATTGCACTTGTAATCATAGTGGCCCATATGGCTAACTGAGCCTGTACTTATCAGTAACACCTAAGTTAAAGTTACCTCTGGAGCATCAGGGGTGTCTAAACTCAGATCATCAAGGTCATCTAACAGCTGCTGGAACCCTGGAATCACAAACATAGGACAATAACATTATCAAAAAGAGCACAGAAAAAATTAAGAAGTGAAACATGCATTTGAATAAGCCCACTTTAATTAGCAAGATTAACTTCTATTGCTAAATCTCTCCCCCAAAAAGTGCTGTTGGCCAGCCTTTATACTTCTGTATTTTTGGGAACTCCTTTTTTAAGCAAACTGTTGGGTATTTGCTTTTTGTTTATGGCTTCTTGCCCTGCCGAAAAACCTTCTTATGCCACTTTAATAAGGACTGGACTAAATGCTTCATATTCAATACTTGCCATGAAGATAAAGAATTATCAATATGTCCCAAAACTCGGTATCAAAACAACAGCACCAGGAGATCAGAATAAAATATAATGGTGAGGCACTTCCATTTATGATCTCCACATGAAATACAATGCATTTGGCTATTGCAAAACCACATTTCCTTTTCTAATGGTGTGTCACTGCCCTTGTTCCAATATTACCTTCTCCTCATCAGCCTCCATGAACATCTTACACAAGTAATGGTACTGACCACAAACTTACCTTGTGCTATGTCGTCTTGGCTGAGATGCTTGCCATACAAGTCTGAGATGAGAACTGATGCCATTTCTCTCTGAGTTGCCTGTAAGTAAGAAATTTGTCATTTGAAATCATACTACACAAGTTAACCAGCTTTTCAATCTAGTGAAAATACTCTGTATAGAAGCTAACTGGAAAAGCAATCTTTGACCAATTAATTGTGGTTTATAGCTGTAAACTGTTCAATAAATATTGTTATCAGAAAGAGCCTTAAAAAGTCAGTGATTTATAACTGAACATATTCACATGCTTACCACAGAAAGCAACCTTAACTCCAGTGAGATAAGGGAAGGCTAGAAGGAAGATCCCAGAAATTCTTGGAGTTGTTATCAGAATTATGCTATTAAAAGATGCAAGTTTAATGCTGAAACAACCCAATTCAACACACAATCATGTTGTCATCGAAAACACTTTTTTCCTCTCTTGAAAGAAATTTGAAATCAAGCTGCATACAACTTGTTACCATTGTACTAAAAGTATCACAATGTTGGATAGAAATAAAATAGTGACAAGCCTTGTTCAGTTCTGGCATTTAATCATATCTTTTGTCTGTTTATGAAAGAGTGGTTTGTTTTTTCTAGTAATAAAAATGGAATAATGATTTCAGAGCAAGAAGATCACCTCTTTTTGTATCACATATTTATCAATAACTGACAATGTTACATACAATATTTCTCATAGAAATCATTATTATTATGACTGAAATAATAAAAATAAAAGTAGCAAAAATAATAATCGGTAAATAAAAATTATCATGTAAGATAGCATCTCCCACTCTTGAGTACATTTTAAACAACATTAATTTTACCTTTTTCTCCAGTGCAAGACTGACAGCAAAGGCAGGAACCTGTATTTTAGAAAACAGGCTTATTTAATAAATATATCTTGGTTTCCTAAATGGCCATAAACTAAAACAAAGAGAGAGGCAGGAACCTTTACCTTACAGTGGTATTTGGAGATAAAATATATTAAGTAATTACAAATTTCCTCAAAACAATAATATAATAAACAGAGGTTATAATGAAAAAGGGACGACATTCCATCAGTTAGTATTTGTTATGACACAAATCATCTTAATTATAACCATAATAACAACAATAACAACAAAAACAACAACACATTACACAGAGATTATGAAAAAAGTCTGAGATGGTTAGGTCTACCTTGTACTTCCTTGAAGATATGTTAAGTTCCTCCAGGGAGAGCTGTTTAAGGAGTCATATTAATACATGATTAATCTTTCACTCACTCCCTAAAAAAGACTATCAACCTCTCACAGTCAGGAAAAAAGCTTCACGTAAGACAAAAAACCCTCCCAAAAGAAAACCATGTGTGATAATTACACAAGGCACAATCATTAACATTACAATAAAACCTTATTTGTTCTTCCATGTTTTAATCAACAAATTGCCTTTCAGTGCCACCACTACTTTTCTTAATCATGAAAAAAACAATTATGTGCTATGATTTGTAAACACTAAATATTACAAATGATAAACAGACTTGGGCATCAAGCGACTTTCGTCAGTGACAAAAAACAAAAACATCAATTTGCTAAACCAAACTTTAGAAACCAAATCAGTTATTTTCCTATCATAAATACTAAAAAATGGAAGATATTTTGGTCTCCCTAATGACAAACTGTAATAGTTTATCCTTACAAAAAACTCTTAAATTGTATTTGACTTTGGCAAAACCAAGTGCAGCAAAAATTGAAACATCTTAACTCGTGTCCCATTTATTTTTCTGAAAAACATTATCAACCATGTGAATTTGATTGTTGTCATGTAGGCATTGCCAATTGACTCACCAAGACATCCTCTGTGTCTCCATGCTCAAAATATTCCTGAAAAACAAATAAACAAACAAGTTTATCCAACAGATATTCAACATCCATTTTGATTTTTTCTTTCTATGAGAGACATAGTAACCTGTCAATTAGTGCAATGAACTCTGGGTTGTGTGGTCTGAGTTTGAAACCTAACTGATCCATTGTATTGTTCCCTTTGGGCACAGCACTTTCATCTTACAGTGCCTCTCTCCTACTAGAAGTATACATGGACTATGGAGAAGCTTTAAGAAGGCCTGAAAAATGCCAAACCTAGTCACACCCCAAGTTCAAATCCAAGTAGTATGCTTAATTATGACAAACAAACATACATGCAATGAGTTGATTAGTAAGATATTAAAAGTATTATTTGAATATATTTATTCCTTTTGGCAACCCTAAGGTCTTTTATCCTTGAAATTGTGGTGTGAATCCCAAAATGTATGGCTTTAAATGAAGAAGAAGTCTTCATGATTTTCTGATTAATAACAATGAGTGTATTCTTACATTTTCTAACATTTCACAGATATTAGATGGATAACTCCTTAAAGAAAGTGAAAGCTTTTTTAGGACTAGCTCTTCTATGTTGATGAAACCATTAATTACCTGCACAATTGGTGTGATGTTTTTGCTAAACTCTTCCTCAGTAAGCTCTGGTTTGCACTCCTTCATATCAAAAGGCTCCTACAAGATATATACTTCATCATAGCCATAAACTCTAACACAAATATAAACTCAATCAAGGTAAGATACTCCTGAAATGGTTCATGAGCATGCTGCTAAGAATACTGCTGATGCCAGCTGGTGGTCAAAAAAATGAACATGTTCAAGACATATCCACTGTGAAAACACATACAAGAAGAAAGTTCTTTATTGACAAACACTTTTGACAACAGAAAACTTATGTTTGTGATTCTCCAAAAATAAAAACTATACTGACTACGAAATACATATTATGACATAAAGAGCTGACACCTACATCCTCATCTTCCTCTGATTCATAATTTGGATCATGTTGGTCTCTGATCTTCATATCTTCATCAGTCAGTACTTCACCAATGGCTCCCCAAGTACCCTTTCCCCCTGCTCCACCTGCAGAAATTCAAATGAATGACTATTCCCAACTGATAGGATTTGCACATGATTACTAATCTAGGGTAAAAATGGAAATAAACTTTCATCTTTCATCTTTCACCCTCTACCACTCAGCAGAATTCATTCACACTTATTTTGCAAGAAAAATATCACGTTAAAAACTTTTTTCCAGATATTTTTAAATCACTACAATCCCATTTTCCAGATTTAAGTCATAAGTCATAAGTCACGTTACACAGCATAACCTAAAATGCACCAAATCAAATGATTCCAATCTTTTGAAGTGAAATGTTCATGTATTAATTTATTTTGGCAAAGTAAATTTATTATGCATTTTGACAAAAGTTTTCTCCTCTTTTGAAAACGTTGTCTTCACCATGTGCAGTCATTGTCCCATAATGATACCAATTTACATCTTCACAAGCAAAGAACCTCATGGTAACCAAGGTGAACAAAATGTAAATTTTATTTTTAAAGATAGCTTTTCTTTTTAAGACCATTAACTAACGGTTTGGTTCAGCTTTTTTTTTGTCTTTGTCTGCTTGTGGATATGAATTTATCACACCTGAAGACAAAATTTCAGTCCATGCTCCACCATGCAATATTCCACGTGTAATAGGTTTCAATGGTAATGACATCCGGTGTGGATTTAAACTTAGGTCACTCGCACATAAAAAAATATCAAGGGTTGCCCAGCTTTTAAAATGTGGCAGAACCAAAGAGAGAAATTATGCAGGCATAATTGTTTTGTTACCCAAACAGCAGTTGAGGAAATGAATTTGCATGCCAATAAGGCTTGAGGGCAATTATGTGATTGCAAACCTTTCCATCAGGTAACTTTTAGACATCCTCTTCTGATGAAAATAATCTTTTAAAAGAAGTAAAATACATAGAAAAATTTCCCTCTAAACCACTAAGATTCTAGGTGAACTGTGAACTGTTAAATGTTCCAGGTAATTGAGGTGAGAAACCTCAGTTTGTATCATAAAACGTGCAAACCAATCAGGTTGTCTTCCTTCATTTATTGTTATTAAACCCCCATTTACAAATTACAATTAAAAATTTCTTCCCCTTGAGACTTTTCATAATCCAAAAACACAACATCCAGAGCAAGTTTCGGTAGAGATTTGGCTACATTGCGACAGTCAAACTGTGTAACATTTCAATTGCAGATTCTCTTTATAGAGCTGAATACACAAGTTGATAAGGGTAGATTCAGCTGTAAACAACTTGAAAAGGTTTCGACTTCGCTACGAAACAGTATAGAAAAGGAAACTTATCTACAGCCGTTCGAATTTTACCCTTAATTCACACGAAAGATTTGCCTTTTCGTACACATACGCTGGAAAACCTGGGAACCATATCAGCTATGAAATCAATCCATCTTGCTTTGTTTACAAATTTCCAATCGAATAAGCTATCCAATATCTCGTATCTCTGACCTCGAGAAATACTCCATAGTGATATGACGATCAGTATTAGCGATACTTGTATTGCACGAAAGGTTTTAAATTATTTGCAAGCTTATAGTAATCCTTCAAACAAAGGCACCCTTTCTCAGTAAAGAGCCATTCCATGCGTTCAGGAATAAGGTAGTCACACTTCCCTCATACGCCAAAATTTATCCAACATATACATAAACAGAAGTCACCAAAAAATTTTAGCTTTAGGTACAGCACTATCTTAAGCTAGCAGAGTTTAAAGAGAAACAAACCAACTTTTGGCAACACAACACATTGAAGGATTACAGCTCATTAGCACAAAAGCATTTCAAATTCAAAACACAATATTGTACAGTTGTACACAAGCATGATTGTACGCCCGCAAAAATTTGCAACACCGTTGGTGCTCAACTCTCATAATGACTCTGAGACTTTTTTAAATTTATGTTGTGCACGTCGGGAACAAAAGTAACACTGCATTTGGCAGTGATAAATGAACGAACGCAGGTCAAGGTAAAGTAAAATTACCACTCAGGGCCGCGTGGCATCCACGATCAACCTCACCGTATTCAATATTCATGAGCCAATAGTGTTTTGATACGAAACCATGGGTTGTTCAGAGATTTGCGAACCATGACAAACACAAGTGCATATGCACGGAAATTTCAAAACAAATGGCAGTGCTGTTTCGCGCTAAAAATTAATCCAAGCTGATTCTATAGAAAATGATACACTGGCTTACCTTTCTTTGGTAGACCTCGGCGACCGCTCCGGGATTTTCTATCGTGGTGTTTGTCTTTGGGGGCTTTCACGAATAACGAAGACTCTTCGCCATTTTGCGTCCCGTTAAAACCATTCTTTAGGCCTGCTTTGACACCGTCAATCACCACTCGCCTTCCATTGTTCTGTGGAGCCTCTTTCGCATCTTCAACAGCTGAGGTCGACTTGCTTCGAACACGCATCTTCTTCGTGGAGGCTGTTGGAATTGTGGTTACACCGCCGGAGGAAGGGGAACTGGCCATTTTCACCGTTCCAGAGCGAGAGGGAAAAAGTTTAGCATAGAACTCTTTGCAGAAAAGCCTTGCTGGCAATCTCTGCTAGCGCGGGCCGCGAAAGACAAAGCTAGAAGGTTAGGTCGTTTACGAGTGTAAGTGGTGCGTAAGAGAAAACCTGCTTCTGCTTTTGGAAAAGTTTGTTGTTTTTAATCACAGCGAGGTCAGCTGACATCAATTCGCCTTCTGATTGGTTCGTAGAGAATAATCAGGAAAGGTACGGTGGGGGAGGGGCCTAGGTTGTTTATAAGGAAGACGAGGGTATAGGTGTACTCAATTTTCGTGTACTTTAGACCTTGCTCCGAATTCACGACCTACAACTTACTTTTTTATATTTTCCATCAAATTTTCTAGTATTCTAATCAACAATTATAAAAACATCGAGAAAATTTGCGAAAATTCTAGTCAGAAAAGGCACATAAGTCTTTATGTGACCTATATGTTCGTTCCGCTGCGGGAAAAATATATTTTTCAGCTGAAAGTATTTGTTCTGAGATTTCAGAAATTCTATCCATTTGAACCATTAGGATACAGGGCGATAAAGTTATCATGCATATATTGTTATGCGTTTAAGGTATTTTTTATCTCAACAACGGCTTATTTGAGTTCAGAGTGAAAGCTACTAAAAACCATATTCAATTTCTGCTTTGAAATGTAATCATTAAATTCTTGTCGATAAATTTCTTAGAGCCTCTTGCATTGTTGAGGTAATGTACTTGTCACGCGTTTTAGGCGTGACGATGAACTTGTCACGCAGCTCCTAAAGGCGTGGCATTTTAGCCACGTTCGCTAAATGTACGTGCCTGCACTCAACCGCAAAACCATAACAAAGCCTTCCAACGGTTTAATTTTGTAGGAAGAATTCTACAGAAAATCAAAGATGCTTCCTTAAACCAGCTTGATAAGCGACTTAAATTCACAGAAATATTATCATATTTCAGGCACTGGATTGATAAAAAGTGATGGATGCAAATGGAAAACCTATCGTACAAACCACATCGAAGTTACCTTACCTACAAAGCTTGTCAAAATTTCTTCCTGAGCAAAGCAGAGATTGCTAGAGTACCAGTCGATTCGTCTCAATAGAAACCCAGAACCATTCAAAATGCCCGCAGATTTTCACCGCACAGGAATATGTAGTTTGTCGATTTGAATTTTTGTCGATCTCTATTCGTGAATTTGATCGGATGATGCGTCTGTTATTATTAGTATAACGATATGAACAAAATTGTAAACATCGCACATCCCGTGTTCTCATTGGTCGACTCTTCGAAGGCTTTTGTCTGGTGTTTCATCAGCTTAGTCACGTGTTATGTGAAATAACAATGCGAGTCACGTCCCCAAAATAGTTCGTTTTTGCGATCAATTTGTCTCACCTGGCGCCATCCACCTCGATCTTTATTGGTTTTCAGTAGACTTACTGTGATTTCTGAGTGAAAGTCTACAGATCCTCACTTTAAGTTTAAGATCAATGCCTCTTTGTAACAAGGTAACCTCTCGAAGCAAGGAGGTCACCTGTTGAGTTAATTTCAATACGTGACTTTTTACGCGTTTGATAATTTGTGTGCGCTTGAGCACGTCGGGACAAAAGTGCGACCAATTCCTATTCAAGATCACCGCATATTCAAACAGATGAATATATCACTTAATATTTGGGCGCAAATACGTTCCGTTTTAAATTTTTTTTTGTTTTTCAATTACTTGTTTTATTTATTAATTTTATTTTTCGTTAGCACAACTGATTTTGATGGCTGCCGCGTAAAAACATCAATGGTCATCTATCATTGCATTGGAGTGTGTGAGGCCCAAATTTTTTGGCAATTTTTGTAGGAACAACAGCACTTGTCAAAAGTAAACTGTGTTTGCAAGAGACATTAGTTAAGGAAACGTGTTGAGGGACATTGCTAAATGAAAAACTACAGGACAAAGAAACTCGTCGGTGACCGGTTTTAAATCACATATTGCAAGTCACTAAGGGGGGGAGGGAAGGGGTGTTAAAATAAAATGTAATCTCAAATTCCATTACTGTGGGAGGAGGGGTGTGAAGTAGCCAGGGCTCGTTCTGCCGTATTGTGCTCGGCAATTTTTTTTAAGGAGCTTTTGGCGTTTGGAGCAACTTTTTGCAACCTCGAGCAATTTTAGCCACTCTGAGCAATTTTCAAGCAAAATTTAGGTTAGACCACATATCAAGCACGAAGAAGTCAACAATTTAATACTGAGAAAACTCTACTCCATGCGAACTTCTTGAATGTTTATCAACCTTTTTGAAGTCAAAACCTGTCAGGTGACAAAGTTTTGCGGCCCTATTTCGATCCATACCAGGAGCGATGGGCTCCTGTCCTTATCTGATAAAAAAAGACCAGTCCCTTTGTACAAATGGTGGGGTGAACTTACTTCATTGTACTAAATTCGGGATAACTTCCGACAGTGAAAGGCCTCTTGGCTTGATAAAGTATAAAATGACTTTTTCTCTACCAATTTTATTTTGTTTTGAGCACAAGAATCACCCAAAAAATGTAATCAGTCTTGAAGCCAGTGAAGGAGTCATATCTTCTTTGAGACAAAGGTTAATCAGATAGATCTTTTCAAATATCTGTCTGACAACTGTTCCTTTCACCAGTTTTCCTTGGCAGTGTTCAGGGAAATTTTGACGTAAACACTTAACTGACCCTTAAGACTGTCTTACTCCTAATTATATCTCTCGCTCCTTACAGAATCACCCGGGCTTGAATAAAACTGCATAAAAGGTCAAAAGAATAAAATGAATTATCTCTAATTTAAAAAGCTCCTGATTGTCAAACAAATTCTTCTTGTCAGAACCATAGGAATTTGAAAAGGACAGTGAGGAGAATATAAATACTGATGTTAGGAACGTGATAGGAAGCACATCTTTGACGTAGTTCTAGAAATAACAAATTGGTGTACTGATTGATTGATTAAAGGGACGATTTGATGTTTGTTTCATTCCCGCACACACGGACTTGCTACAAAACTTCCTTTGGGACAAAACAATTTTTTACAACCATACGAATGCTACAACTCTTGTATGGCTTTCTCCGTTGTAGTTTTCCCTGCCGCTTTAAATAATGTTCTGCAATATGATGAACAGGCTTCCATGTTGCGCGTGCAAATATGCACAGGCCGAATAATTAGTGAAACGAAACGAAACGAAATGAAAAGGAAATCTATTTTGTGTTCTTTGCGTGCCTGAAATCATTTTTACAAACAGTTTAGGACTAGGATAATCATAAGATAAAACCCCATTGACGGTGTGTGAGGAAATCAATGCGTTCTTCGAGAACTTCTTAGGTGAATCAAAACTTGCCAGAGTAATCCCTTCATTTCGGGCACCATTCAGTGGACACAAGCTCTATTCGAAACTTAAAGAATGTTCTGATTATCATTTCCTCGACAAATGTTACCTAAATTGAATGGATTGCTACTCAATACAACTTTTCAGTTCGGGGGGCCTTCATCTGTTAGAAAGATGTTGTTCTGATTAGCTTACAAAAGGTGACAGTTGCCAGGCTGTCAATCTCAGTTGACCATCGTCACCATATCACACTGCCCTAACAAATCACTTTAAGCTACATAAAACAGATCTCGCATACAAAGTATGTACCTTTGAGGTGTTCACGCATTTCAAAATGAGTTTCTACCTTAAATTTTACCCTCTCTTGCGGCTAAAATCGGGCAAAACAAAAAACAAGATAATTTGGTTTTATTAACTGATTTGACAATGTAAATTAGCCATCGAAAAGAGTTTCTGAAAGCTGAAGTTTCGAAAGTTAGCCCTTCGACATCGCTCTGAGGAAGAGCTAACGCTGGAAACGTCAGCTTTGAAACCCTAAACGATGGCCAATTTACATTATCAACTTTGTTGATAAGACTAAATTATCTTTTTATACCACCCCTCCCCACGACGCAGCACCTTAGTTCTCTAGAAACTTACCCCCCCCCCCTTATAAAAAAAGAAAAAAATGGCGATATAAAAATTATAGTTAACTTACTGAAATTAAAACTTAACTTAGGAAGGGATCTACAGAGAAAATTACCTTTGAGGACTGTTACATAACAATAAGATAAAACAGAGAGTTTGGAGGAGAAAGGTCGTACCCAAGGTACCCCCCCTCAGAGAGCTACGTGCTTCTAAAACAAGTTGCCTGATTATAAATTCGTTGCAGATGATGAAACCAGAAGAGGTGTCAAACGAGCTAAAGACTCATTTTTCTGATTGGGAATTCGACTTGGAATTAACCAAAAACAAGCTTGAGAAGAATCGAAAATAAAAAGGGGCAATTTCCCGGAAATCCCTGTACGGACCTCAATTTTGACCAAATCAATTTACTTTCTATTTTATCGAGCGGATTAAAGTAATTGAAATAGCACTGACCGTGAGATAATGGAGTATAACTACTAAAAGTTTTAATTACTGTTTCCTTACTCGGAACTGGTTAGCTCAAATGATTACCGCAAACCTCATAATATCAAGCCAAACTTTGATAATTATTCGATTTAAAAAAATGCATTTATAGTTCGCAGTCAGAACAAATGAAAATCAAGTCTTTATCTCGTAGCTAAATTAAAAATCTTCAATATAAACTTACTTCTGTGGCGGGTCGTTACAATAGTCTCACTTTACAGGTTAGCAGATTCACCAGGTAAGCGGATTCAGAGACAGAAAAATAATAACAAAATAACTTCCTTCTCACTTTGATTCTGCTAAAAAAAAAAATGATCTGAATCATAATAAACTAACGCTTTTAATTCAATGTATTGAATTAACGTCAATCACGATTCTTGTCATCGAATAAATCTGTCATTAAGAGGCGACGCCTACTTGATAAACGAAACAACTACCGTAGAAACTGAAGATCTGTTTTCGTGTCAAGTTCATAAGAGGAGAGTAGGCAGCTTAATTAAAATTAAACGCCCACTTCACGAAAACGTTTTTGAAACGCTCTGAGCCTTTGATGGTGTTTTCAGTCTTGCTCATTTGTTTCACTTCTTCAATTAATTCATTTTTCACTGCTTCGAAATGAGACACTACTGTTTCAAAAAGACGACTGGAAACAAAATAATTTTTTCGCTGTCGATAAGCGACCTAGGAACCAATAAACTCTAAGTAACATTTCCCGAGGCAATTACCAAATTAATGAAAAATACGACCCGTCTCAGCCAATCAGCATTTATAAATTATTCCCCCATGATATAACTGTAGAAACTGAACATCTGTGTGTAACTTAATCAAAATTAATATTTTGCAAAGTTAAACACACTTTCTCTTGCAATAAAAAAAAGATAAGTAATGGGCTCCTGATAACACTTACTGTAATTGTGAAGTATGACCGCTAAGGAAATAAGAGACAATCAACCAGCTTATATTTTTGCTGAATGGCTTATGCTATTAAGTTGTATCCATTTCTTTTTCCCAACACTTAAATAAGTTAAAAACGACAGAAAATTCTTGCTAGAGTAACACTATTTTCGACTCCCTTTTTCCTGAGGACGGCCATCTTTTCTTAAAACGAAATTCATTCGCCGCCCTTTTTTTTAAACAAAAAACAAAAAAGGAGGAAGTCTTTTTACCACCTTCTTTCATTGTCTAAAACGAAGCGTTCCGTTTCTCATCAAAATTTGTGTTTGCGATTTGTCTGACTATGAAGCCGTGCCGTGCCGACCTTATTGATTATCAGGAGTTGAATGCGTGACACTTTTACTTTATATGCCTGCCATATGCCTTTGGGAAACGGAAGACTGATGGAGGCATCACTTGGGTTTTCTTGACACGAAAAGAAAGGAGCAGACAGCGGGAAATTCTGCTTCAGCATAAACGACGTACTCACGTAGCATACTATCCCCAGATCCTCGCTCCGTCGTTGGCATCGAAAACATCAACAATGTCAACTTTGTGGCTTCAGTGGTTGGCGTCTGCCTTTCGATAGCCAACGAAGGCAATTCATTGAACCTCTTATCAAATTTTGAAGATGGAATTAACATAGCTAAAGGGATGTCTGCCAAACTGCTGTCTTCTCTTGTTCAGACGAAGTCAATCGAGTTCGTTTTGGCGCCAATTGCCTCTCAGGTTGGTAAATTTGTTGATCGAAGATAATTTGCATGCTGGATTAATTCCTGGGAGAAGTATAATTTTGATTTTGTCGGATCGACTGCGCTTCTTACAATGTACAGTAAGTATAGCCCACCATCCTTCGTGGAATATTCTTCTTCTGACTCCATGAATTAGATTGCGGAGGTCACGGAAGTGGCTGAAAGGAAATTGTTCAGGAAAACTGATCTCTCATTCCAGTGGAAACATTATTCGCGTTACTTTATCCGCCGCAAGCAATGACTTATTTAGAGATTCTTGCGCAGCGATTTGCCGTAGAAGCTAAGCAGTATAATTCCGGTATGGTAGTAGAATGAATGTCTTATTAGTGACTTTTTAACTCTGTTAGGAATATGGTATGGTTTAAAATGAATTTGAGGCAAGAATGGTATTAAATTAACCTTAGTACTTTGATTTGCTCTTTTTGTTTTGCCTCTGGTACAAGTAAAATTTTGTATTTTGGCATACTGGCTCATTTAGCTGGAGCTTATCCCAGTTTCCATGGAGCATGAAGCAGCAAGGAGTATCACTACTCCCTCCTGGATGGGATGCTAGTTTATCACAAGGTTATCCCCCAGCATTTCATCAGGCTTCCCTGCCAGTACCCAATTATACCTCCTGGGTGGAGAGAGGCATGGGGAGAGTAAAGTGTCTTGCTAAAAAACACAACACATTGACCCAGCCAGGCCTCAAACCCAGACCTCTTGACCAGGAGCACAATGCACTGACCATTAAGCCATTGGTTCTCCCTACTGGTACATGTGCTTCATCCTTAACCCTTTACACCCTAACATCAGTACACATATTCTCCATACTGTTCTTTATACATTTCCTAAGGTACCAACAAGGATAATTTTTTTAACAATCCAGAGCTTCTTTAGTTGTTGATGATTTCCTTTATTCTCATGACCTAAATGTGTGATTCAAGGGTGATACTGTGATGAGTAAATAGATGCTAGTCACTCTCAGGGATTAAAGGGTTAAACTAAGAAAAATAGATATCCTACAAAGTTTCATAATGTTAAGTTAAAAACATACTAAACAATGTAAAAACTGTATGAACAGTCCCCTCTAATAACAGCAATAAACCTGTGCTCTAAAATTATGTATAAAAGAGAGTAACCAAAAATAACACAGGGGAGATTGTGAGGGACAGCAGCAAAACAGCAATGGTACAGGAATGAGCAGCATGAGGTGAAAAATGCACAAGTCAAGGAAGAAACTGGTGCCAACCTTCTCTTCCTTCCTGTGCAAATTAATCATTAAGCATTATTTTCTATATAAAACAAGAAGGGTTACTATATGTATTAGATGCATTATACTTAATAATCTTCAGGTGTCCCAGGTGATTCTATTGAATGAGGCAGCACAAAGGGATGGTGTTCCTTTGCCAGACTTGGTTTCCAGTGCCCAGCAGATCAGAGAGGCCATCAAGAGCCTTATACTGGCTGCTCAAGCATTGGTCTCTGAAACAACAGATGATGTAAGTTGTATATTGAACAGGCCTTCTGAAAAGATACATTAATTTTTTTGCTTTTTGATATCTGCAGGTAGCTTAGTAATACTCCAGTCTTCAGAGATTCTTTTTATAAATGTTATGTTTTGAAAACTGAATTAGCACAAATCAGAGAGAAAAATTGTAGTAAATGTGTTCTTGTGATGATGGGAATTGAGATTAGAAAATCAATTTTTGGTAACTTTGAGCTCTTGGAAAAAATGAGCACTGTATTAGTGATTGTGTCTTGGTCACTTAGGTGCAAACCTTTAAATTTTAACTGATCAGGCAAATAGGGAATCCAATAAGTAATGTTTGCCAAACTGTAATTTTTTTAAAGAACGATACAAGAAAAAGAAAACAAACAAACAAGTATAAACTTGGATTTAAAGAGAAACTTAGTTAGTACTGACAATATCTGTGCATTTTTATTTTCCGTAACATTAAGAACTTTGTTAGAAGTTTGAACCTGTGCACTTGGTTGCTTAATTCCCATTGAAATACAAAACATTATTACTGGTATTATAGTGACAGATGGCAAAATTTCTGATCTGCATAAGACATATTTAAGGGGCCAAAGTTACCAGTCATGTTTTAAACCTCTAATTGGTGAAATTGATTTTAAAGTTTAAGTTAAAACAATGCAAAAAAAATTTTTGTATTGAGAGAGTAGTTGTTAAGACTTGGTAAAATTTGGTATGGACCTCCAAGTGTTTATCAAGTGTCTTAAGTTTGTTTATTCTAGAGATTGAAAGTTAGTCGGAATTGGATGAATATTTGAATTGATATAGACTTGGTATGGATTAATGAATTGTCAATCTTATCTCTGATATTACAGGATTTGAAATCAGAAATGCCTCCTGCATGTGATTCTGTAACAAAAGCAGGGGATGCATTGTTGAAGGCAACACATCAGCTTAAACAGCAGCCATTCTCAAGCAAAGTGAGGTACAACCTGGTAGACTCTGCAAGAAATATCCTTGAAGGAACTATGAAGGTGAATTTAACATTTAACTTTATATTTTACATGTATTATATAGAAAGATGAGGGGTACAGCAGGCTGCAATGATTTGTTCACTAGACTCTGAATCAAAAAGTGACTGGTGTGAACCCTGATTGGGTCATTGCGTGGTGGCTTCTGACAAACACTACTCTCTTACAGTGCCTCACTGTCTCCACCAAGGAGTAGGACTGTAAACTATAAGGAAAAGCTGGCTAAATGTCAGTGGATAACCCTGCGATGGATAATAAAGCCTTGTGGGAGTATTCAAGTTAAAGATGAATAATGACTAGTGAAAAAAAGATGCACATACAATAAATATTCTTCATTTTATTTACTATTTTGTCACAAAATGCAATCTCATCGTGAATCAACTTTTGAAAAATGCTTTCATGGATCAGGCTGAAGTTCTGAAAATTGGAGAAATCTCTTTGGGCACATCAAAAGACATTTCACTGTTTTTGCTCAGGTGTAATGAGTTGCATTATCCACCTTCCTTACAACTGTGTGTAAGGAAAAACATGTATGGATTAAATTGATGAACATTGCTCAACAGTCTTAAAAGGATATCATGCAATAGTTTCAATATTGAATTTAATTACCATCCTTGTTAACCTGTACACTATATGTACACCAATGGTTTTATCACAGGTTTGCACAGTAGTGTAGTTTAGTAAGGTGTTTATAGTGTATCTTTTAATGTAAATCTTTCAAAACAGATCTTGCTTGTATATGATCAAGCTGAGGTGCGCAAGATTGTACGAGCAGCTCACTGGGTAATGGACAGACTTGCACTAGTAGAGGGTGTCACTTCCATGAGGAGTCTGGTTGTTAATTTCAAGGTAATTACCAGTACCAGTAGTTATAAGAGTGCTATTATGATGAGGAACTAGGATTTTATAGAATAGTTTCAATACCTGTTCATGTGTGCCCACCTAATTTGGAAAGTATTTTAATCTTGTGTATTATTTCTGAGTTTTAGGACTTCACAGAGTCTTTGATGCTCCTGGCAAGCATGTGCAATAAAAGGCAGAAAGTAGGTACTCTTCGTATATACTGTAGTTACAAGTCTGAATCAATTTGAGAGTGTGACAGGGTTTGTTTGGTTTTTTCTTCAGTCTATTTCTCCCCTATTGCTATGGATTTTTTTTTTTTTTAAGAACAAAGGTGCTGTGAAAATATTTAACTTCCCTCTCTCAGTTTTTGCACATTCAATAAAGAGTTCTTGCAATTTTTTTTACTTATGTTCAGTTTTAGAAAACTTAAAGAAAATTTTTACACTGTGAGAAAACATCAATTTGGTTGTCAGGTTGGCCAAGAGCCATATCAATTTTACCCAGGTCTGAGCTAAAAACTACTCTTCTCAGACTAGTGCACAGGTTAGATTTTGTTTCTTTGAATGATAAAGTCATAGTATGTGTACAATAGTGTTGTTTGTTATGTACTTAGGAGCTGAGTAACCCTCGTCACAGAGACAGACTCTTGTCAGCCATGATGGTTCTAAAGAAGTCTGTTGGACTGCTATCAGCATCCATGCAGACATATCTAATCAACACAGCCAATCTTCAAGCTAAGGTATCAAGAGAAGTTTTTTATAGATGGTGGAAATTTGGTCTATCAAACTTCTTTATAACATAATTAGATATCATCCAAAATTGAAAGATGACATTTTTGGACTCAATGACACAGGGATATTTTGAATCCTACAGGGTTACAGCCACCCAAGTAAATGATTTAGATCTAGGTTTCAGCTGCAAAAATGAGAAAGAGGGTTGTGAAGGAGAAATTTAGATATGGTCCTTATGAGCTTTATTTTAACACCAGCAAACTAGAAATTCCCTTTGGTTGAGAACACTTAATATTTGTCAATCAGCTCTAAAATTCCTGTAAAGTTAGATATGTTTAGGATAGTAAATTTAAAATAATCAAAGGAAAAACCTGACGGTAGCAATTATATTTAAAACAATACTAGTCTAATAGTAAAAAAAATGCTCAAGAAACTTGTTTCACTAACAAAAAGATGAAATGAAGGTCCCTAAAAGAATATAGAAATTCATGATAATTATTTGATATAAATTCTTTTAAATCATGTACATGTATCCATGGTAATAGTAAACCATTACATCTCAGATCTCTGCATTGGTGGTCAATTATTTCATTTAATTTGAGCTCTTTTAAATTTTTTTTTTTATTTTAAAAAGTGTGGTGTTAAAACCAACAATGTCTCTGAACTGATATTTTTCTTTCTTTTGTTCTCCTTTATGCTGGAAAATATATCCATAATGAAGGAAAAATTCCCTTTTGGCCACCCCAAGGAGTGAGGTGGTTAAGATGTAAAATGTAGGGTATTCTCATCTGTTGGTAACATACTTGCTTAGCTTAACCCTTTAACTCCCAACATCTGATTGTTAATTCTCCCCTCTAGCTGCTACACATTTTCTTGCAAATCAGTTATGAGAATTTGCTGGTAGATCAAGACAACTTCTATCTGATAAGTTGGAGTTTCTCAATACCTGTTTGCAGGATAGTGTTTGAATATTATAGGGAGAAGTTCCATGTTAATAACCTGTGAGATTAGCCTGTAGATGTCCTTTGTTTGACTCTGGATGAGATACACAAAGCATGATGGATTTACTTCTCCTGGTTACAATACTCTCTTGGACTGTTTTTTTTTCTTCACTGTAGGCAAGCCGTGACTATGTGGTTGGTCAAATCATGTTGGCGTGTACTGAAATCATTAAAACTGTGGAGGCTCGGGATGATCTTGGTTGGAGTGTTGATGAACCTGGTTACATGGCTGCCACACTAGAAAAGGTATTTTTTTTGGTGACAGAACAGTCGAGAGACTGAGACAAAGACCCCTTTTTGTTGCAAGGCTTTAAGTGAGCAATGAAAGGAAGATGGACCACAGTTGATGTCAATGTACATGTACTCTAACAGTGCTATTACTGAAACAGAATACGGGTGGTTACTAATTGAGTGAGAGTGCTTACTAGGGGCGCTCAATAGGGGCACTCTTGATTAAATCAACCAGTAATCCCCTAATTGATATTTGTCTTTATTCTCATCACTTGTCTCCCTGATATTGTATCGATATGGTAAGGAGAAATTCTGTCTTGGTCATTCGTTAGAGTTAAAGGGTAAACAGCCTGTGTGAGAAGTTAGATTTTAATTTAGTCAAAGGGTAACTTGGACAAAAGATAAGAATGTTGATTTGTCTTGTTTTCACTTCATTGTTGTTATTAGGTTGAAAAGTTTTAGTTTCGTGATGATTGAAACCAAGTTCTTAAGACTGATGCAAAGTTTTTGCTTGTTGTTTTGCCTTTTTGTTTTGACAGGCTCATAAGCAGCTGTCTCCCCACAGCAGGCTGGAAGCTGGTAATGACCTTGACTCTTACCTGGATGCTATTGTCCGTAGTAGCATGGGTGTAGCCAACACTTGTGAAGGAGAAAGAAGAGATCGCATTGTGCAGGCTTGTCAGAGTGTGAGTGTTGTTAATTGGTAACTGTAGTTAGTGACCTGGCCCCAGTTGTTCAAAAACTGGATAACACTATCCACTGGATAAATTGGTGGATAGCACAGTACGTTTTTTTAACAGTTATCCACTGGATAGTGAAATATCTATTGGATAGTGTTATCCACTCTTTTAAAAAATTTTGCCCTGTGGTATAAACCCTGTACATTTTGGTTGCTAAAACCTGAGCTTCAGTGAGGACCACCCATGCTTAGTCACTATTATTATAGTCAAAGCTTATCCCTAGAATAATACAGTATTGTATTGTCTTAGGGTAAGAATATTTTAAGTCAGAGTTGCAGGTAAATTCAGAGGGTTCCTTGGAGGATCTAAGCCTACAGTATGACTTTCAGAGCAGAACTATCAGAGACATGTGGTGGCTGTTTAGGCCATTGAAACGAGGTGTTGAAGTAATGCATTCTTGTCACCTTTAGATAGTAGTTTACACAAAAAATGTATATTGCTGTCTGCTTAAGGTTATTATGCAATACCCACATTCTTTTAAAAGAAACTATATCCTCATAAGAACTCTATGTAACCTATTGGGTGAAATTTATAGAGAGGTTAGTTTTGCTTTACCTGGTAATGGACTATTATACCTTCCTGCAGAAGATGTGGTGGTTGTACTTCTAAGTCTTTTCATGCTAAGAATCAGCAACCTGGTTAAACTTATGGCCTGAAAAACCTTTATTAGCTCTGGCATGTACTAGCTTGGCATGATTATAATTGCATGAAAAACTTTCATCTTGCTCCAATATAGGAGAGTGATCATAGAATATACCTGAACAGTACATTAAATTGAAATTAGGTTTCAAATATGAAGTTCAAATGAAATGACTGTTTTTCCTCTCAAAAGTAACTGTACGATTTCAAATGCAGTTTGGAAAAAATAAGATCAAGTAACTACATTTTCCAAATACCAAAAAATTTTCTGACCCTTTTTCTCAAAACTGGACTTAAAATAACTGTAATTAAACAGATTTATACTTTCAGTATGTAAGGCTGTTCACTGTAAAATCATCAGCTTAAAAAATTTATGACTGTATAATTATTCCATGTTCTTCAAGGTTCTCCAAATGAGAAATGAACTTGCAGAGCTGCAGAAAACCCTTTTAGCCAAGCCTTTGTCACAGAGAACAAGGTGAGTTGAGGATATTTTACCAAATTAGTGCTCATGTTGGTTTAGGTCTTCAAAACTAATACAACTTTTTAAAACTGATGCCAATTGATTGAAATATGTAAAATAATAAAAAATAAAAATAAAACAAGTAGCACAGAAAAGGTGTCCTTCTTGTTCAAATGCAGATAACATTTCTTCAAGGTTTAGAGTATAAGTCTGTAAGGCAGAGCATGTTGGTAAAAATTATCTCGATGTAAGGCTGAAGGGAAGAATCTCACCAATTTGTGCATTCTGTACTCTAGATTCAAACAATCAGATTGTTTAAAAACATTTATTAATAAGTGTTTACCTTACTCTGATAATATCCTTAACCCTCACCCAGACAATTTGATGTCTATTTAGGGTTAGATTTTTTAATTTTTATTCATATCAACAGGCATAAACTGGACATGGCATCTGAAAGGTTATCAACTGAACTTAAAAGGCTTGACCGCCATGTTTCCACTGCTGTCGTTGATCACGTCACAACTGTATTTGCTGATGCTGAGCTCCCTGTACACAATATGATACAAGCAGCTACAGCATCACTCTTGGTACATAAACTAATAGTGTATCTTTAGTTTAATATATAGTTTCAGTTTTTTTAATAGAAATAATAGACATGTGTGCATTATTCTGTCCATTACACACCTGAAAAATTCATGGGGCCCTTCTGGTTCTTTAACCTTTTCAGTCCCAAGATCTTATTACCAATTCTCCTAACTGTTTGCTATACAATTTGTATGATATTAGTGCAGAGAATTTGGTATTTGATCAACCAATAGTTCCCCAATTGACATTTTTTGTTATTATTCTCATCACTTGTCTGCATGACATTGTATCAACATTGTAAGGAGACATCCTGTCTCAGTCATATATAGGATTTAAAGGTTAATTATGTGACAAAGTGGTTGTCTTGTTTTCTCTGAATTGCTGGGCTTTCATGTCAATAACCATGCATGTAGTTTCATCTCAGGTCGTGTTCCTAGGTTTGAACTTGTGAGTAGTCACCACTAAATTTTTAGCAAAAGCATCCCAAACCCTGTGCATTAAGTTTCTTAGTTTGCCTTTTTAAATAAGGTTCAGGACAACAACAATTCTCTATTGTGGCTCTGTAAAAATTTTAAAGTAGCAGAAGTTACTGTACATCCAAAGGGTTAATTGTGCATCATGCATAACTTCTGTATGCAGGATATGAGTGTACAAAGTCAGGAACATGCAGTGACCAGACTGAAAGGGAAAGCTGAGGAATTCCAGAAACATGCCACAATGCTGGCAGAGGTGGCCAGACAGTCTGCTGCTATTTCAGCTGATGCAAGAAGTAAGCATTTTTTTTATAACACGATAACATTCTTTACATGAAAGTGTGGAAGCTCTTCTATAAATTAAAGCTAAAACCTCTTATTACCCTGTATGATGCTGTCCTGACCCAATGCTGCATAACTCTCACCCACCTTCCTTGCTGTTAGGGCTACTTTGCCTTTATCACCGGATATTGATTTGCTATAGGTTTGATTTGTATTGTGTTACGTTAAACCACAATAAAGATGTTATTGTCTGATAAGTACTGGGATACCTCAATTACATTAAATAAAACAGTCTAGGGTTTGTCTGTGAAAATATGTCCTTACTTCATGGTGCTTCTTCACTTGCAAAACTTACTAGTTGTCCTAGAAACTTTCTTCAATTGTGTCAGCTGCTACACTTGCACATGTTACATTCTCTCGCATGCTTATAATGAAGTCATTTTGATTGGGTATCTCACAAAAAAAAAAAAATCCTAAGCAATGAGAGTGACCAGTTAGAGCAAAGGTAAATATTTCATGGAACCAACAAGAATGCAACCAAAGGATGAATGCTCAAAACTTCTCCTTTTGAAAATTTGTTACAATGGCAGACCTACATTATCAACTTTTAGATGATAACCAACCAATAGTCTACTTTCTCATCATTGCACCAAAACAGTTTCTTTGGAAGCCAATAAGCTTTCAGTGTCCAATTTTCTAGTTATTAGGTCACCTTCAGTAAATCCAGTGTATGCATAAGCATCACATCAACTTTTGAATTCATAGAGTTCCTGTTCATGATCTCTTATCGTTTTTTTTTTTTAACTTAAAAGGAGTACAAACTGTCAACAGCATGGCTGGTGACATAGAGCAACTTGCCCCACAATTAGTGTCTGCAGCTTTAAGAGTGAAGCAGACACCTACAGACACAACCTGCCCAGAACATCTTGGCCAGCTGAGAAGAGACTGGACAGCAAGGATTCATGCACTCACTTCTATGGTGGATGATATAACAGACTTCAATGACTTTGTTTTGATGACTGGTATGTTCCTGTTTAATTTGAGACTGCACAAATAATAAAACAATAATAAAGATCCTTCTTGATGCATATTGATCTGTAGCTCTGTCAAACCAGGCAAGCAGTTTATAAAGAAAGGCCTGGTGTTTCAATATATATCTAAATGATATGCAAAATAGCTGGACATGTATCTACTTGTTAAGTTGAGTTTACATGTAGCTGATTTATTGTTTTGAATGCTGCTTTTTGCAGTTTATAGATAAACAACTAGATCTGTCTGAGTCTCCTCACCTCACACAATTATCATTATTTATTAATATGACATACATTATACATGTTTCTGTTAGTTTATGTTAGCTTCCAGCCAGAAATCCATGATGTTTAATGGAAGTACCAATTTTCATTCATTGGTAGATTTTAATGTCCAACAAGATATTTCCAACTGTCAAAAAGCATTGCAACAACAAGATATTCACAAGGTGTCTCAGATCTCCCTTAGACTGCTTGGCCGAGCAAGAAGAGTGACCATGGTTGCCAAGAAGGAGATGGATGTAACTGCTGATCCAATGTACAAGGGAAATCTGCAAACAGCTTGTGGCCAGCTGGAGTCTGGTACTGTATGATAATAAAATTAATCATAGTAACAATCATTGGAAAAATGATTGTGATTATGACAATGATCACAATAATAATGATGATGATATGTAATGGTAATTGAACTGAGTTGAGTGCAATTTGGTCTGAAATCAGATGCATGATTTCAAAGTCAAACAAGTGTACAGCAAGAATTTGATTTGAAATCACAAGTATGATTTTAGAGCAAAATTGCATGACATGAAGTCCAATTACCATTTTATTTAATTCATTTTGAAATTGCAAAATTCAGTCACCTAGATACATGTCTTTTCTGTTAGTTCAAATATTTTATTTATCCAGTAGTGAGCTGGTTTGAAGAAAGTTGCAAAAGTTGATTTTCATTTTGCTGCAATTTGAATTATTTCTTTCAAAATCTGATTTATTATAACTGTATTTTAGCTTCCTCATTGGCTTGGAAAAAGATGGGATTTAGAGCAAAAAATGGTGCAATTTGTGAATAAATAACACCATTGAGAGCCAATCAGATTACAAATATCACCAATGATTTCAAAATGGATATAATAATAATAAAAATAATAATATTAATTTTGATGTTAATGTCGATATTTAAAATGACAATGAAAACATTAGGGTGTTTTTTTTTTTTACAGCCAATGTACAAGGAAATGGGGAAATAAGATAAAATAGCTATGTTCATGTACTAAACTTGATATAAACTGCTTTTAAAATAACAACTGATTTGAGGCAAACCAGTTGACCATGAACAAAACACATCTAAGGAATTGTTAAACTCAGGTTGTTTGATGCATGCAAGAACCAATCTTATTTGCAAGGGCTTGAGCCTGGGACTGCAGGGCAACAAGTACAGCACTCAGCCATGCTGCCCTCATCTGGTAGAACTGACATTAACCCTTTAAAAATTAATATGCATATTCTCCATACTGTTATTTTTACATTTCCTGAGGTGCTGACAAGGAGAATTTAATTAACAATCAAGAGAGTCTTTAGTTGGTGATCATTTCCTTTATTCTCATGACCTTAGTGTGTGTTTCAGGGGTGATATTGTAAGGAGAAATTAGATGCTAGTCACTCTCAGGGGTCAAAGGGCTAATACTTACAGGTCAAGGTTCGATGCAAGTAAAGTTAAAATTAGTGTGTTCACATCCTGTTTTTATTTTTTCAGTACTTCCAGCTTTTGTTCAAAGTGTTGAAGGAGCCCTGGTAAATATGACTGATGATGTGCAACAAACCAACCTCTATAAAAATTGCCTACTGCTGGGAGAGATGGTAAAGATAATGAAATCAGCTTTAAAACGGCCAACAGGAATTAATATAGGTGTGTGTGTATGCGTGAACTAAGCAACGTCTTCGTTTTCTTCTTTTCGTTTCTGGCTTTCAGTTTTGTTTGTTTGTTTGTTTGTTTGTTTTACCCCAACTAGTTTTTCCAGAAGCTTTTTGATCAGGCATAAATTAATAATGTCAACAGGATGTGCAATGGCCTTGCTATATTGGGAGTGATTGTTATGTACATAGAAAAGATAAATATCTTGATATTTTTGCTGCAGATTTAACTGACTATAGCGCTGAACTGACCGGCGCTAAAGGCTTAAGTACAAAGGACAACATGCTGGATTTGTTTGAAATTTTAAGGGGACACTACTCTCCTGCAGGTAAAAATAAAAGGATTCCTTTGTTTTTGTTGTTGTTGTTTATATTCTTGTTGACAGGACAGATACACATAATATTCCATAGATGGGTAACCCACAACTCACTGAAATATATTTGCGTAAATTCCTTGAAGCTCCTTGCATCTATTTCAAAGTTGTGCACGACTGAAAGAGTCAGATGTGATTGCCTGCAAAATTCACACATCACACACTATTACTGTATTAAATTGTTTATGCATCCGTGATGCTCTTCGACTCAGTGATGGAAACTCTAATTATAATTGTGCCTCATTTCGGTCACAAATTTAATGTGATGCTGTATTGGCAAACTTTACAATTTTTTTTTTTAATTTGTCATTTCTTATAGCAAGTGACACAACATCAGTTGATGAAACAGATCAACTAGCAGGTCTTGATAGTGAGCCCTTTGGAGAAACACTTTTGGAGCCTTCTGGTGGAGAAGAAGTAAGTTAAACATTCCAGCGAAAAAGATCATTTCTTCAGTTAATTCTGCAAATCCAAGAAATGGTCATCAGTATTGAAGCTTGAGTACTTCTCTCTATAACGCTGACAAAAGTGTTTTGAATTTCGCGAACAAGCAAACAAGCGAACAAACCAGAAAAAAAGTATTTGCGAGATTCTTGCGTAACAAACAAACAAACCAGACATGAAACACTGCGCGGGATTCTCGCGTAACGAAAAAAACGAAGCAGCCATGAAATAGTGCGCGAGATTCTTGCGTAACAAACAAACAAACCAGAGACGACAAAGAAGAATCGGTGTGTCATATTCTTTTGTAACAAACATACAAACCAGACATGAAACACTGCGCGGGATTCTCGCGTAACAAAAAAAACGAAGCAGCCATGAAATAGTGCGCGAGATTCTTACGTAACAAACAAACACACCAGAGACGACAATGTGCGCGAGATTCTCGCGTAGCAAAGAAACAAAACAGAGACAGAGCTGTGCGCGAGATTCTCATGAAACAAACAAACCAGCCAGAGAAGAAACAGTGCACGAGATTCTTGCGTAACAAACAAACAAACAAACAAGAGAGGAAACAGTGTGCGAGATTCTCGCGTAACAAACAAGCAAGAGAGGAAATAGTGCGCGAGATTCTCGCGTAGCAAACAAACAAACAAGAGATTAACTAGTGCGCGAGATTCTTGCTTAACAAAAAAACATACAAGAGAGGAAACAGTGCACGAGATTCTTGCGTAACAAACAAACAAACAAGAGATTAAACAGTGCGCGACATTTTCGCGTAACCAACAAACAAACCAGAGAAGAAACAGTGCAAGAGATTCTTGCGTAACAAACAAACAGAACAAGAGAGGAAACAGTGCCCGAGATTCTTGCGTAACAAATAAACAAACAAGAGATGAAACAGTGCGCGAGATTCTTACGTAACAAACAAACACACCAGAGACGACAATGTGCGCGAGATTCTCGCGTAGCAAAGAAACAAAACGGAGACAGAGCTGTGCGCGAGATTCTCATGAAACAAACAAACCAGCCTGAGAAGAAACAGTGCACGAGATTCTTGCGTAACAAACAAACAAACAAACAAACAAGAGAGGAAACAGTGTGCGAGATTCTCGCGTAACAAACAAGCAAGATATGAAATAGTGCGCGAGATTCTCGCGTAGCAAACAAACAAACAAGAGATTAACCAGTGCGCGAGATTCTTGCTTAACAAAAAAACATACAAGAGAGGAAACAGTGCACGAGATTCTTGCGTAACAAACAAACAAACAAGAGATTAAACAGTGCGCGACATTTTCGCGTAACCAACAAACAAACCAGAGAAGAAACAGTGCAAGAGATTCTTGCGTAACAAAAAAACAAACGGGAGATGAAACAGTGCAGGAGATCCTCGCGTAACAAACAAACAAAAAAGAGATGAAACAGTGCGCGAGATTCTAGCGTAATAAACAAACAAACGAGAGAAGAAACAGTGCGCGAGATTCTTGCGTAACAAAAAAAACAGGAGATGAAATAGTGCACGAGATCCTTGCGTAACAAACAAACAAACAAGAGAAGAAACAGTGCGCGAGATTCTCGTGTAACAAACAAACCAACAAGAGAAGAAACAGTGCGCGAGATTCTTGCCTAAAAAACAAACAAACAAGAGAAGAAACACTGCGTGAGATTCTTGCGTATAACAAGCAAACCAAAGACGAAACATGGTTTAAGATTTGTGCACGACAAACAAATAAACAAGAGAAGATACAGTGCGCGAGATTCTCGCGTAACAAACAAATAAACAAGAGAAGAACAGTGCACGAGAATTTTGCGTAACAAACAAACAAACAAGAGAAGAAACAGTGCACGAGATTCTTGGGTAACAAACAAACAAATAAGAGAGGAGACAGTGCACGAGATTCTTTCGTAACAAACGAACAAACAAGAGATGAAACTGCACGAGATTCTCGCGTAACAAACAAACAAGAGAGGAAACAGTGCACGAGACTCTTGCGTAACAAACAAACAAACAAGAGAAGAAACAGTGCGCGAGATTCTCGCGTAACAAACAAACAAACAAGAGAAGAAACAGTGCGCGAGATTCTTGCGTAACAAACAAACAAACCAGAGAAGAAACAGTGCGCGAGATTCTCGCCCAACAAACAAACAAAGAAGAGAAGAAACAGTGCGCGAGATTCTAGCGTAACAAACAAACAAGAGAAAAAACAGTGCGCGAGATTCTTGCGTAACAAACAAACAAACAAACAAACAAGAGAAGAAATAGTGCGCGAGATTCTTGCGTAACAAACAAACCAGAGACGAACAATGCGTGAGATTCTTGTGTACAACAAGCAAGCCAAAGACGAAACATCGTGTGAGATTTGTACGCAACAAACAAACAAACAAACAAGAGAAGAAACAGTGCACGAGATTCTTGCGTAACAAACAAACAAACCAGGGACGAAAAAGTGCGCGAGAGTCTTGCGTAGGAAACAATGCCTAATCTGCAATGTGGGATTTTAACTCTTTTACTTACGTTTCGCCTTTTCGTTTTTATTCTGAACACATTAAGTAAATATGGTTTAGAAGTATTGTTTAAAAAATCACAATTTGGAGCTTTGTTGCTTTGAAGGAATATACTTCTTGGTTTTGAAGTTTTTTTATTTACTTTAGATCAAATCAGAGCCCAGAGCTCACCGTAGCAAACTTCCATTAGAGGCAGAGAAAAAGGACTCTTCAAAAGACAGATTCCAGCCTGCCTACAGCACCGATTCTGAAGACTTGCTGTTCAATTTTTCAGAAGATGATGAAATGGATAGAATCAACAGGAAAGCCTTGCTTGGTACAGTGTTGTGAAACTTGAATTACTGATGTGCTGAAAAACTAAAAAAAAAAATTGAATGGAAAAATAAAATTTTTTGCGTATTACAGAATTTGGACTTCTCTGAAAATTGGTGGTCAACTTATCTCGATCAATTTTCATTTGAAAACTCATTAGCTTAATGAGTTACACACAACCTTTGTCATGTTTCGTTAAGGTTTTTGATGCGACCCAATTTTCCGATTACTAACACTGACAAGAAGCAAAGGGGAAATGTATGGATAATTTTAAAGAGGATTGAAATGTGTTTAGTTGCTTTAAATTTCACATCAAAAGGATGGTTTCATTACTTTTCGTTACTTTGGTGCAATAAAAAAATTATTTTGACCTGCGCATGAAATGCAAGTATAGAAAAAATCCTCGCATTGACGGAAGAGGTAAATTAAGAAATTGCGGAAGAAAATTCAGAATTTTTCAGGATTTGAGACACAAATTATTGGCTACCGCTACCACCCCATGTGCTGGAGGAGAGGTAAATTTTAATAGGGTTTTCGTTCTCGCGAAGGAAAAGTTATCTGTCAACTCATACATGTAAACTAATAGAGCCAATGTTTGTGTCACGTTTATTCCAGGGGTAACTGAGGAACACCAGGATGAGAATTTGTGGGCAGTAGGCTCTGTTCGCCCCACTAAACCGTCCCAGACCTCTCGCGCACCCGTGTCTAGATTACTGAATGCTGTGAAGGCCAAAGACTTTGACTTAGCAGAGGTGGAACTAAGGAAAGTGGAATCCAGAGCCTCTGCGCTGAGTATGTTGGCGAGCACGTCAGCAGACAAAGCACGGAATTTGGAGAGAGTGAGGTGAGCACCAAACTTGTGTTATGGCAAGTGTACTTTTTTTTTCCTCATAGTAAGTAATTTTCCTTCGTAGCTGTTGGGATGTCACGCAACGCTCCCCGATAGTTTGTTCGTGGGAGCGTTGTGTTACATCCCAAAGAACGGCTAAGAAAGATCCGGAGACAAACAGTTAGTAGAAGGGAACAGTTATGAAATCCGACAGATTTCTTTGTCACAGGTTGTTGTTAGGCTTTTTGGACGTGACTTGGCACAACGTCCTAAAACAATTCAATCCTCGACCAACAGAAAATTTCTGTATCAAATATTAAGGTCAGGAGAATAAAGGAAATGATCACCAGCTAAAGAAACTCTTGATCGTGAAACAAATTCTCCTTGTCACCACCTTAGGAAATGTTTAGAGTAAAGTATGGAGAATATGCATACTGAACTTAGGATGCAAAGGGTTAACTTATTCAGCCACGATTTAGGAACGCAAAAAGGAAACTGAACGAGCACGGTCATGGAGCTCCGGTGGTTTTTCTAAATCACTTCTACGTACTATGGTGTTTTCCCCTTTCCACCTAATATTTGTCTCATTCTTAGCTTTGATTTTCCATCTTCAGTTGTCAATGACCTTTTTAATTAACTATTTTCCCTATTTCCTAGACGTGTTCGGGTCTGTGCAGGAGAGATCGAAAAACTCACACCACTTATCATACAAGCAACACGTGGTATTAGAGATGATCCACGTGACTTAGTGACTGTTGAGCGACTTCAGACTATTGGTCGAGAATGGGCTTCCAAAGTGCATGTGCTTTCTGGAACTGTTGATGAAATTGTTGTGCCGTGGTCAGCTGCGGCATCTAAACTCGCCCTAGCTGCCACCTCTGGTGATGCAGAGCAATTGAAAAAACAGGTAAGGTGGCTTGAGATCCAGTAGCTTCTCAAATTACAAGTATGTGACTCAGATTGACAAAGAGGCATCTTCCCTTGTTTGTTCTAAGGAGATAATTTGGTCTTATCGACTAAGTTGATTTTGTAAATTGGCCAACGTGAAGTGTTTCTGAAGGTGACGTTTCGAGCCTAAGCCATTCGTGATTCGCTCTGACGAAAGGCTGCGAACGCTCCAAACGTCAGCTTCAATAACTTTCGGTGGCCAATTAAGAATATCAACTCAGTTGATAAAACGGAAGTATCTGGTAATACTCCACACCGACGCAGCACCACAGCTTATTTAGAAACTCCCCCCCCCCCCCCACTTCCTTTCTAAAGTGGCTGATCTCTAGAGGTCTGACTGTGTTAAAGACACACACTGAGTACTGTATTCCTTCCTCCAGGTGGATAACATAAACAGACATGTGGTCCGCCTCAGGCAGCTGGCTGTGGCAGCCAAAGCTGCAGGGGATGCAGAAGAGTACGCTATGGATGCAGGGAATGAAGGTGAAGCCCCTGCGCGTGATCCAGCCTCTCTGCAGCGTGTTGAGCTTGTTCAGAGGACATCAGTAGAGGTTGAACGAATCACACCTCAGCTGATTACTGCTGCTCAGGTTTGTGTTGCTCAACTTACAACGACTTTACAAAAGAGTGGAAGAAACCAGGAAAAGCGAATTGGAAGAGAATTGAATTTTGTCTTTGTATCTTTGTATTATCATATGCGTAAAGGTCTCATGTAGGGAATTTTCAGAAAATGCATCTGATTTTTTGCTGCACAAGTGAGACTGCTCTGAGAAAAGGCTTACGCTCGAGACGTTACCTTTAGAAACTCTTTACGGTGGCCAATTTACATTATCAACTCGGTTGAGAAAACCACTGAATATCTTGAGACTACTATGGTTGGGATGATGTAAAAGGGAAAACCCTCTCCGCTAATGGTCCCTGTTTAATCGGGGTTTTTTTAAAAATATTTTACGTGGTAATTTAATTCCTCTCTGCGTTGGAAAATAAAGCATGTTCCAGCCTTAAATGGTCGCAAGACCAATCGGAAAAAAAAAAACAGCCCAAAGTTATCGTTCGTTCCTTTCTAAACATATGTACTGTTAAACTGTTTTTTTCTCTTTCTTCAGTAAAATATCTCTCTTTTTCTTGCAGGCACTCTCAAGGGACCCGGCAGACATTGCAAATGTTGAACGACTTGAACTTCGGAGGAGGGACTGGGCGTCGAAAGTTCACAGTCTTGTATTTGCAGTGGATGATGTCACTGTTGGTACTTCTGCGCCCGTGGAACAGCTGGCAGCGGTAGCCATGGCAGGCGATGAGCATGCATTACAAGAAAACTCGCGCATGTTAACGTCATATGCGCGAACTCTTAAAGGAATGGTTGATGCGGCAGTAGCTGGGTGAGTGGCTGATAGTGAGAAAAGGCTTTTGTATTGTGCCATTTTTTTTTCTTTTTGAAATGTGAAATGAGCTTGGTAATGATGATCCAGGAAGTGCGCTGTTTCTGTTGTAGATTGATCCAATATTAAAGTTGACAGACCCTCACTGTCCTCACAAATATAACGATAATATCACAATTGGTACTCTTCTTAAATAAGTTCTTAAAAATGTTCCTCTCTTTAGATGTAATGATCCCAAGAAAATTAGCTTAGCCAAGGGAACAGTCAGTTCGATTGACAAGGTGACCGCTGACCTCCAAGACACGTCGCGGTTAGTGTCCGAGATGGCATTGCGAGAACACAAAACATTAGAGCAAAGTTTGTCTTACATGGGGGTGGTAGAGAGGATGAATCTTCTTCAAAGGGAGTGGGCTACTAAGGTAGGTGAACATAAATCGAGATGCCTTGATTGGTGAATTACACCTCATTTAAGCTCTACAGTTTCTTGGTGTTTTCCAGTTGTTCTGGTGTTGCTTCTCAAGACATGTTGACGTAAAAAACACGCGCGCAAAAGGGCAAACACCCGAAACCTCTGGCAGTCGTGCGTGTTCGTCTTGGATCTCGCGTGCCGGTCCATCACTCGCACTCAACTTAATCGATTGCTTTCCACGCTAGCTTGGATGTGGTTGTTTATTTTGTTTTGTTGCTCTTTAAATACTCAGTGGCTTTATAACCCAGTGCAAGTAATGAGCCAAGTGCACGTTCGTATGTTATGCAAAACAATCGAATAAAGAATGTATTATTTCACTACTATTTTCGAGTTTTTGTAACATGGGTTTTTCCTACATTTTCATTTTCACTCAACTTGTGCACATCCAGGTTCATTTGCTGACGGCTCTTATTGACGACTTAACGGCTGAAGCCTCGGCACCAGTCGATCGTCTGGCCGGTGCTGCCCTCGCTGTGAGCAAAGCAGAACTTGGCGAAAGAATGGAACAACAGCGTGACTTCGAGATGCAGGCTGATGAACTCAAAGCACGAGTTGCACGTGTTAGAACACATGCCAGTAAAGCTGTGGAGAATTCTCGCCATGCGAGTAAAGTGAGGACAGTTCGCGTGACTGGGGACTTTATTGATAGACTCACGCCACAAGTTATTGCTGCTGCACGTGCGCTAGCAGGTGAGATAAGACTCTGTAACTTTGGTGAGTGAAAATGTAGCAAAAAAAAAACCTTGATACTTAATTATTTCGTGCATTTTTGCCTGGCCAAGACCTGCCAATCAACTGCCCACATGTAATGATCCTCTCGTGCATGCGGGTCCTCTTTTGTTTTACCGTACGCGATGTTATGCTTATGCACTGTGCACAAGCTTGTTTGTGGAAAATGGTATCTCGCTTTCTAAAGCTGTCAGAGTGAATTTTGAAAGTAATTATGAAAAACAAAACCAAGAAATCGAACGATAAGACAATTATTGCACTTGGTTATTGTAAAATATCGTGATTTATTAGTGTCGAGTTGATTTTCCTCAGCCTACAATTTCAGGAAATAGGTAATGTTCTGACCCCTCAAGATTCACGTTATTTTGCACTTCCACTTCCAGATAGATCTTCTGCGGCCTTGTCGGCGACTAACAAGCCTTTCGACCTTTTTTGGCCGAAATCTTATTTTACGTCTTTCGCCCTTTTCCTTCCCCTTGCTATGAACATTTTAATTCTGGTATTTTCTTGGAAATGTTTAAACCCAAAGTCAGTTGTAGAGGTCGTTGCTCACATGTCTCTTGGAATAAAATTTAGACAATCCAGACCAGCCGACTGTGGAACATTTTCAGATGTTGAGGCGTCAATGGGCGTCTAAGGCGCAGCTTTTGATGGCGACGCTTGATGAACTTCCAGATGCTGACAACACAGCCGTGCAAGGTAAATTGTATTGTGTGCTATTTACACAGCATGTGTAATTTACGAATTATATTAAAATTAACCCTTGAGTCATTAGCTCTTTCTATATATCTTAATCAGTTATCTTTGCTAACTTTCATTTTTTTATGGTCGTCATGTTATCAGAAGCTCGCCATTTTTATTTTTGCAGCCTTATAAATTGGTATAAGCTTTATTGGGCTGTGGCTAATCAGGTTTAATTTTTTTCTCTGTTGACCAGATGTTTTCCAGGATTTATTAGGCATATCACATATGGATCCATCCCAGAGTTTTGAGTCTCTCAATGAAGAAGAGACGGGAGCTATCGCGGGCTCATCCCGTTGGCCATCTGTAGCAAAGCCTGTCCCCTCTGAGGAAAGTATGTTACGATCCTCCGACCCCTCGAGGAGAGAGTCAGGAGAGGGGAGCCAATCACCAGAGATCAGCTCTTATTTCGATGACATGGCTCTATATGATGTAAGTGAACTTTCTCCAGGCACAGTTGTGTTTAAATCAATCCCTTTAACCCTTTACAGCCTAAGAGTGATTAGCATATAATTTCTCCTTACATTATCACTCCTGAATCACACATTAAGGTCATGAGAATAAAGAAAATGATCACCAACTAGAGATGCTTTTGATTGTTAAACAAATTCTCCTTGTTAGCCCCTTAGGAAATGTATAGAGAACAGTATGGAGAATATGCATACTGATGTTAGGGTGTAAAGGGTTGAATAATGAAGTTGAAAGTTACGGAGAAGTCAGTTTCTCCCTGAGATGCATCGCACTGTGTTGGCAATAATCTCACGATAACATAGCCACGATCTTATCTCAGTGGTTCAACGAAGCACTCTTAACCCTGTAACCCCCAAGATCTCATTAGTAATTCTCCTTACTGTCTGCCATACAATTGTTATGATGTCAATTTGGAGAATTTGGTATTGGATCAACAAATAATCCCCTAATTGATATTTTACTTTATTCTCATCACTTCTATGCTTGATATTGTATTGATATTGTAAGGAGAGATTCTCTCTCGTCATTCATGGGAGGTAAAGGGTTAACCTTGTGAACAATATATCTCTCATTTAAGTTCATTTCTCTTTACCCTTATTTTGAACGTTATCCATTCAGTTTCACCAGCTTTCTGATGTGTAATCCTTGTGTAAAACAGTCGTGTTTGCCAAACTTGCCCGAAAAAGACGTTGAAAGGAGGAATGATTTTATTATGATTTACAGCACTCTGAAAATTATTTTTCATACTAAATTTTACAAATGAGTCTATAGGAGCTGTTTGTTAAGTTATGTCGCTGGACACTTATGGCCTTCCACAATGACATGCAAGCTTAAGCTTGAAAAGTCTTGGTTAATCCTTTAACCCAAAAGAGAGACTAGTATCCAATTTCTCCCCACAATATCACCCCTGAATTACACATGTAGGTTACGAGAATAAGGGAAATGATCATCAACTAAAGAAGTTCTTGATTGTTAACCAAATTCTCCCTGTCGGTAGCCAAGGAAATGTATAGGAACGAGTACGGAGAATGTGGATACTGATGTTAAGGTGTAAAGAGTTTATAAAGCAATCCGGTTCAAATCATTCTCCTGATCTCTTGGAGGTTCAAAATATTGATTGGCCTCCACTGACTTTAAAACTAAATGACTAAATCAGTCATTAATTGCCTCCCAAATTAGGGAAATGATTCCTTGAAGAGAAGATCTTCGTTTTCCGACACGGACAGTACTCCAGAAGTGCGCCGACTGCGAGGACCCTGGGGATCTGCCAGTGAAACAGACCTGATGAGAAAAGCCCTTGTTGATGAGCTCCACCAACGATTTTCCTCGACTGAGTCTCTGAAACAGAGAAGAACGAAGACTCGGTATAGAGCCGCGAGTGTCTCAGGACTTACTCGAGGTGACTCATCCGAATGGAAATCAACATCAATTGAAGAACTAAGGGCGAGGAAAAGCTCCAAGTCAATTGAGGTAAACAGTGCCTAAATTCCGTAAACGTTCCTACACCCCCCCCCCCCCCCTTTTCGTCCTTAGAGTGTATATCTGGTGTTACAAGAAAATTTCAGAGGGGGCCTCATCAGGACGGGGGGGGGGGCAATTAAAAAATCATAAGGAGCTAAACTGCGTGTCAAAAATGCGAGCCACATCCTGGATCTCTTTTCTCCAGATTCTCCTTCACAGGTATGTAAGGTGCATCTCCAGGAAATTTATTGAAGTTTTCCAAAACATTTTTTTATTTTAGCTGGCAGCTCAACTCCTGCAAGAAGAAACAGATAAATGGGAGGAAGAAAACAATTCCATTGTCAAGGTGGCCAAAGAAATGGCGCAGCAAATGCTTCACATTGCTAAATTAGCTCGAGGACGAAATCGAATTCAGGTACTGAGGTTGCGAAACGATCGTTTTCTTACATTGAGAGTGACTCATTACCTTGTCTAAGAATGGTCTAAAGAGGTTGTTGTGTTCTTTATTAAGGCAATATTATGTGAGAATGGCCACGTTTCTGGGCATAGGAAATTAGCTTTTCAGTGTTGGCATTCCCTTTTTGTTTTGCTTGTTTTTGCGTGAATTAAACCACATGAGAGTGTCTGTCCTCTGTTCATTCTGATAGTATCTTAAGTGTTTCGACTTTTTTTATTTTCATGAATCCTTCAGTTATCCAGAGTATTGCGTTATCCAAGTTCTCCTTGGGGAGTATCTCACCAATTTCTCAAAATATATCTCTCACAGTGTCTGTCTTCTCTGTTAGAACAAAATGGAATTGATCAACACCGCAAAAGGTATCGCTTCCAACGCCAAGTTTATCCTCAAGTTTGCTCACGTTATCGCTGAACAATGTGCAGACGAGAGGTTAGTGGATGTTTCCAGGGTTCTTAGTTATGTTTTGTATGTGTATTTATGAGTATTTGATTATGCTAAGTCATAAACTGAGTGAGGTATTTTTCTGTTGGTTGTGTTCAGAAGTAAGAGTGACTTGCTCTACTATGCGGAATACCTGCCAACTATCAGCACACAGCTGAAGATCATATCGTCTGTCAAAGCAGCCACTCCCTCGGACATTTCGGTAAGTTTCACAATACGGGAAGCAGACGAGTCGTATCTAAATGTATTTCCACTCGCGAGGGATTTACTCCTGAAAAGATTGTAACCGTTGCAGGAATGAATGAGTTAAAACCATCTTTTTGTGCTTTATTATCTCGCTGTTGTAGTATATACTAAAACAGCTATTCACATCAGTGCCTTACTTCGCCCCTTCGCAGCTCGGTAAATATTCACCGCTAGCCAATTCCTCTTCAGTGAATAGTTGTAAATTATCTGATTTCGGTCTTTTTCATTTTCCACAGGCGGACGCGATGCTCGTAAAAAACGCACAGAATCTGATGCAAGCTGTTGTGAAAACCCTAAAAGCAGCTGAGGCGGCTTGTGTAAAGGTAATACGGCGAGTCTCTTTAGAGGTCCTTTATTTAAACATAAAAAAAAATTTAAAAAAAGCTTTGGTAAAACAGATGAACACGGTTCTTATTACGTTCCAGGTTCTGCATCCTCCTGAGCAAGACGCTTCGTCCGATCGCAAAGAAGCTGTTGACATCGCCTTTCAGTGGAGGAAGAAGTTAAAAAGGCAGCGCGCCTTCGAGGCTCTGACTGCACCACGTGATCAGCTGGGCCTGCGCAGACGGGAGAGAAACAGTTCCACGCCCTCTTTGGCAGACATCGTTCATGTGTAGCACATGTGCAATTTGAAAATTTACTGTAAATTGTCGAACCAGGAAGCTAGTTTGTAGTGGTTTTTGTTTTAGATGAAACACGTGTAAATACTTTGAGTGAGTGAGTGTCTGTATGCTTTTGGACTTCAACGTCTTTGTCTTTATGAATTAATAAAAAATTTTCATCTACAAAGTGACTGTTCTCTGGCTTATATTCTTGCGATATCGTCAGATCATTTCGGCTCCGATTTCTCCAGTCGTGGTAAATAAGTAAAGATGTCTTTAGCGCTGTGGCGGTACATCATGGTCAAGACGTAATCTGTTAAAAGAAAGGAAAGCCCAATCTTACGTTAAGAGGAGAGATGGGTGGGTTGTGGTGAGGTTGGTATTATGAGCGTGCGGTAGGCGATAGTTCTTAACCCTTTTCCAATTTCTCATCTCGTGCTAAACAAAATTTTAACAAAAGCCATTTCAGCCACTTGAATGAGATATTACTTGTTCTTTATGTTATATTTCATCGTGCTATAGCAATGCAGCTAATCAGAAAGACCTTAAGAATCTGTTGCTTTTTCCATAGTCTTCGTTGAGAAGTGGGTTCGAGGAATGTTTCCCGGCAATCTTCGCAGTTTCTACAAATTTCTTGCAAAATCAATAAAGAATGCTCAACTTTCTCATTTACTGCACTCGTCCGTTTGGGATTCTTCTCGACTCATGAATAGCCCTTGAACGAGATTGCCGATTATGAAGTAACGAACGAAAAGAAAAAGGAAGTGATTTTTAAATGTGATAAGATATTCCTCTTTAGGGCAGTCATTTTAACCCCCCCCCCCTTTACCCCTACACTGAAAAACCCTCATCCTCCTCCACCCATTTAACATCCTATACCTCTAAGCCAAGAGATAGTACTTGGGTCTTTCCGTCTTAGCCGAGTAAGACTCGTTTATAGGGCTCGTGTAGAGAAATTTATGATAGAGAGCCCTTTTCACTTTTGTTTCCCTTCCTTATCAAATACTTCGGGATATGGGCTAGGGATGTATACGGTAAAGGCATTGGCGAAAAATTTGCAATGCAGCTTGTACTACAAGATTGATGAAGTGGAGGATATTCCATGATGAATACACGACAGGCCTAGCTGTAGTACCTTGGAGCGTTGCTGACCCGCAGTTGAAGAGCAGCAAGCAACGCAAGCAAATGGCGATAACAATAACGAATGACAAAAATACGTCAAGGAAGATTATAACAAAGCAGATGAGTCGTTAAGAACAAGAAATATCTTAATCGTTATGGGTAAGTGATATACTTAAATTTTATTGGTTTCTTTTCATTCGACCTTTGATCTTAAACGCGACGTTTCGACTAGCATGTTTACAGCTAGATTTTCTGAAAGGGGTTCTAAAATTCTTAAATTTAGTAGGATATACTTAAGAGCTTAGAGCCACATGTTGCATGTGTCTTTTACTCAGTAAAGGACGATCTCAAAACTATGTAGCCACGAAACTTACTGAAACTGAAAGATTAACAAATAAGGCTGCTTGAATTAGATAGTAAATGTCATTTACAAGTGTACAGTCGCAAGGAACTGTGAATGCTAAGTGGGTAGGAAAGGGGAGGTGGTACATGCAAGAGTGTCGGATTGGAAACGAACCTTGATTTATTCGTATCGACAATGTGAATGAAAGAATTAAATCACATTTATGTAATTATCACTAACAAGGTCTGAATAATGATAGAGAGTCCTTCCAAAGTAATATGGATAGTTCAGAGGCAACAAATAAGTGCAGCACTGTTTGTTAAGGCTAGGAAGTTATTGATGTATGACAACAAATGTTAATAAGGACACCATAAAAAATGATTGCTTGTTTTGTATATTTTTTCAGATTGTTGACTTCTTCATTCAACATAAGTCTATTTTTGACTTAATTCCTGTATGTAAACACATATATCTTCCAATTGCAGATGACAGCAAAAAGGCATTTATTGACCGGTTTGTGCAATCAGTAGTCCACCATGGTCCATCACTGATCACATTGACAAGAGATGAACAAGGAGATGGGCAAGGTTCAGCCACAGACTTCCTTCATCCTGCCACAGAGAACAGTTCTGCCTTGAACTACTTCAAGAACAGGCTTCATGTGAGTATCAGGGTTTTTAAGAGGGTTGTGTGAAAGGTTATGTTCCTTAAGAAGTTTCTCCATTCAACCCCTCAACTGCTAAGAGTGATAAGCATGTAATTTCTCCCAATACTATCATTCCTGAGTCAAACATTAAAGTCATGAGATTGAAGGAAATGATCACAAACTCAAGAAGCTCTTGATTGTTAGACAAATTCTCTTTGTAATCACCATAGGTAATGTGTAGAGAACAGTATGAAGAACTTACATACTGACACCATTTTTATTTGGGTATCATGCATTGAGAGACAAGAAAAAAGAGTATAGAAGTTAACTATAAATAGCGTGTTCTAATTGAAGAAACAAGACTCAATACTGACAGATAGAACATCAAGTTTTTATGTAGTGTATGCTTTGGGCATAATGAATTCTCACTAAAATTTTTAGAATGTTATTTAGTTTTTTATTACCAAACCTATTTTATCTTGAGGGTGAGAGATTTGAACAATGTTTTGATCACTTCTTGCAAATGACTTGTCTTTATCCTTTTAGTAAGCCAGGGTTAATTTAATCATTCAGTTTTTCAATAAACACTTTCAGTAGTTTATAAATTTATTGCTTTTAGGTAAGCACCCCCATGGATTCTAAAAGTAAATTTTTGGAAGCAATGAGTGAAATAGATCAGAAATCTGGGATGAAAATGGGGATGTACCACTTATCAGATAGTCAGCAAGACATGAAACGGTAATATAGTATTAAATTAGTGTAATACTATGTGTTTTACTGATAAGGTATACATGTTGTAATCACATGTACTTCGAGCTCTGAAAATGTACTTTTTAACAAAAGGATTTCCCTTATTTTAAAGGGAAGGAAAATTGACTTTTTACTTTGCAGCATAAGGTCTCCTGGAAAAATTTTCACAGAGCCTTATACTTCATTATGCATGCACATCTTAATGGTGATATACTGGATAATAAAGCCCTATATATGGATGCATAATGAAGTATGGGGCTGTGCAGAAATCTTGCTGGTCTCCATCCCTTGTGCTACTGCTTCTTTCAAAATTTTAGAATTTTTTTAGCATATTTTCCAATAAAATGATTTTTAATGGATATTACTTATCATAAACTAGGTGTTCATTAAATCAGTTTGATATTGACCAATAATTATTTTGTTTTGTAAAAAAAATAATTACCTTTTAACTTATTAAATACATTTAGATGTGAAGATGAAGATTTCCACCTCAGAGTAAAACAACTCATTGCCTCCAAGGCTGACTTGTTGTTCTCCATGGAAGGAAAGGGTAAATTAAGGAGAGGAATTGACTATGGCATGCATTCAAACCAAGAAGGTAATGTTAGCAAAACACTTAAAACTGAAGAGTCTTTTGGTTTAAACAAGAATATGCTTTTGAACAACTTTGTTTGTTTCATGTTTTTCTTTCTTCTTTTTGTATGTTGAATTGTCTCATTTTTTTCTTAATGATCCAATATTTGTGTTTCAGTATCTTGAAAGATAACCTTACCCTATTTATCAAAGACGTTTTTGTATTCCAAGTATTATGTAATTTTTTGTATAGGCAGTGCTCTCTTGTGTACATGAATTAAATTTTTTTTTTTTCATTTTCAGTGTTAGATCTCTATGCTGATGCACCTCCTCTTGAAACACTAATGGAGGTTCCTTTACATGTCCGAAGGAAACGGCTGTTGAATGTAAGGCCTTACTATAAATTATTTCATTTTCTGATCAGTCTTCCTTTACAAAAGGCTGTTAGAGTTATTTACATCAAAGGACCCTCTATAGAAAGGATACCAGACTAGTGAAATGAAAATTTTTTTTCACAAGAAAAATAATAATTTATTCAGGTTTACACAACTGTAGTGTTTCTTTGTTTTCTAATGCAGTGTTTAAATGAAGGAGACATTGTCATTGGTAAGGTAGCTTTCAAAAGACCATTTGGTATCACAGTGACACTGACTATGCTGGAGTTTGGTTGCAAAAGGGATTTCACTGATCTGGATATACAGGTTTATATATTATATATATAGGTTTTATATTACTCCTCTTTTGTTGAACCTGTATTTAGCAGTCAACCTGTATTAAGCAGTCACCCTATCATTCTTTGTGGGCAACCTCTTAAGAGAGGTTTGACCTTTGATAAATTAAGATTGCTGCTTGTAATTTCAAGCTTTCTTGCATTCAAAATGATTTACACCCCTTGCTAAGAAATTTTAACAATTGTTTGTCACTGCTGCTTTTTTTTCTGTTAAGCAAGTTTTTCTGTACATTTTCACACCTACAGGCCCAGTGTAAAGTATCTGAGTTAAATGATTCAGAAATGTCCAGGGAATACAAAGATCCTACTGATGCTTATCTTGTTGGTGATGTTGTCAGAGGTATGCTGTATATGTGTGGGGGTACATCTTCCTTCTTAGTTTGAGACCTTTACTACCATAATCTTATGAACCTTCAGTTGAAAATAGGGCTCTTAATGTTAAGAATTCTCCTGTAGCCTGAGAGTGAAATTTTTCTTTTCTCAGTTACAACTCACAAGTTTTTTAGTTGGCAGTCATGACTGTATACGTGTAACTTAAGCTGAATCTATAGGCTACATTTTTATAAACAAAGTTTGCATCTGCCTGTGAATGTTTAAAAGGTTTAGCCCACCAGCTTTGCTGACTATTTTCCAACTTCAAACTCAATGCAGGACCTTGATTAGAAAACTTGATATTATGGAGGAAACAAAAGGATAAGCTTTACTTACATTTTTAAGTGTTACTTGTGTGAGATATGCACAACTGTACTATCATTCTTCTATGATTTTAATAAGAGGGAAGCATACAAGCAAGAGTATTGAATAACCACAGAATGAACTGGGGCTCTTTTGTTTTTCAGGAGTAATCACAATTGTGAATCAGCAAGAGGGGAGAGTCTTCATTTCATTCAAACAATCGAGATTACCTGAAGAACATAAACACTTACATCTGGTAATTTATTGGCATACTTGTTAGATCTTCTTATCAACAATGGTTTTGTTGGTCAAATTTTTTTATGAGCTCTTACTGCCACACTATATCCCAGTTTCGGAAGAACAAATTTGCCAAAAGTGTTCCTACTCCTCATAGATGGGATGGGATTTCAGTCCATAGCAGCTGACTTGATTCACCAATTTCTCAAGTTTCTCCAGTCTTTTCAAAGTACCAATTGATACTTCTGATCCTGGTTGTTATATAGTGGGACAATGCTGTTCACTAAATAAATATCTACCCATTGGATAGTGCAGTAAATTTTCAAGTGATTTATTCTTGGGATATTATCATCCACCTTTTGAACAATTGGGCCATGGATGAAGTATTCTCCTTTGCAGCCATTCTTTGGTATGTCATGCAACACTTTCACAGGGGGAGTGTTGCGTGACATGACAAAGAATAGCTACAAAGGAGACTAAGGATGAAGAGGCACCATGGGGGTTAGATAAGTTTTGCAAAAACTCAACACAATGACATGGCTAGACCACAAACCAGGACAACTTGATCATTTTTGATTGCATAAATAATAAATATAATGTTATTCACCAGCCAGGAGGTTGGTATTCGGAAAAACTGTGCCAAAGGTCTCAATACCGGCCTCTGTGGTTCTTAAGACAGAGGGCACAGTTCTTTTCATTATGGACTGACCAAGGCTGGTGAACAGCATTTTGATTTTTATTGCAAAACCTGATATAATATATAATGCTTGCAAAAAGAACCTGAACAAGGAGGGCTGTAATTATGGCAAGATCCTCCATAATTAGAACAATTTTTAAGAAATAGATCACATATAAAACAGGCAATGTAAATTAGAGAAAGAGTTTACACTGAAACATTTTTATTTGAATAATGATACAAAACAAACTTTCAAAGAGTTTTTTATTGAAGGAGAAAAATATTGTGTGCACACTTCTGAATGAACAACAGTACTGGTTTGGCCAACAAACTCAAATTAAATGACTATGACAACAATCTTTTCTTCAAAAACAGTCAGTGATCTTACAGAAAGTATTATTCAAATCCAACAACAACTAATGTACAAAGATTTACCTCTGTTCTGTTTTAAATGGTAAGGAAAGTCACTGTAAGTAAATTTGCTCATTTGTTTCCGATAATGGTATGAGTAAAACTTGTCTTTCTTCTACTGAAAAACTGAAGTCACCTGAGACAATTTTTCTAGACACAAGGGAATTTAATGTGGCTTTTACTCATTGAACTCCTTAGGTTTCTGTTACACAATTTTACAGTAGAAATGGCCAATGAAATTGGACTCAAAAATTGTGTTTTTAGTAGAACTCAAGGCTTAGCTCAACTTTTTACAATAAACAAATTGTTTTGGAGAAATCAGTAATAAACTGGATGAAAGTAACATTAATTACTCAAAATTAAAATAAATATCTCATATTTTTAAATGTCTGAATTACTTTTTGTAAAGGGATATTAAATTACAAACAGTTTTTACACAATCCATAATTCTCCATATTTTTCTCTATGTGTTTCATTTGCTCCTGACAAGGAGAGTTTGTGTAACACTCAAAACAATCATTTCCTTTAGTCTCATGATCTTGATGTTTCATAGTTTAGCAGTATTACTGTAAGGAGAAACTAGATGCTGGTCACTCTAAGGGTTTGGTTTACTTCCTTCTAGGGTGTTATTGATGATCAAGATAAAAGTGTTAAGAGGTATGGTTATTTTTTTATTTTATAAGTTGTTTTCAATTGGTTTTTCTATCACCCTATTCCCTAAGACATATAATTCATAAAATTATTCTTGAAAAGTATTATTAATATCATAATAAGTTTTTGTGGTCAATTTTGTGTTATGAAAGTTATGCTTTTTTGTAGTGATGCTGTTCTAATTGCTGATAAGTTATATTTGAGATCAAATCAACAAACAAATAAATACATTTAGTCATTGCTGATGCACTTCAACATTGGGGAATGTTTAAAGGGACTCTACCACCTTAAATCGCTATAGAATATGGGAACCTTTTTATTTATACCTCCCCCTTTAGATTACAGGCAATCTGCACTGTTTACAAAGCAAGGAAAACCCTTAAGAACAATACATACAGCATACTGGTTGAAGAAGGAGACAATGCTGTAAAAAGATGATGATGAATTATTAGAAGGTGCTTTGTGTGTTTGCAGGTTACTGAGTTATCCAGAGGGACTGGGGTTTGAAGAACATCTGAAAATGAGCAAAGGCTTTAACAACCCGAGAAATATTGATACACTCATTGATGTGCTTGGTATTGATACATCTGCCCCCTGCTCCCTGTTAAGAGGATTCCAAAGGTGTGCTAGACATCATAGCTGTTTTTTCAGAGTTATTTGGATCTAAAACTCAGATATGTAAATAATAGTACATGTTCTATAGAATATTTTGCAGAAACACAATTACCAATGAATTGTTAACTTGGAATTGTTCCTATAGGTATAATTGTCCTGAAGAGGAATATGCAGAACAGCTAAGAAGACAACAATCTGCCAAGTGGTCAATGGATACGTAAGAAATTTATTTAGTAGCTATTACATGGAGCATTAAGTGACTGTAACGTTTTGGAAAAATTCCAGCCATTGTGTGTTTCATTCTTAAAATGGCAAAGCGATTCAGCCCATAAAAGGGTGAAAGTATCATTTGATTTTTCAATTTTTCTGTGTTCTATGAAGCAATTTTTTCATTATTCTCTGATGGTGAATGAGGTCTTTTAGTGCTTTACTTTTCTCTTAAACTCAAAGGTCACTACACATTTTTTTCTAAGAAACTTTGGTTTCAAGTTAATTTAAGGGTCTTAAAACTATTTGCTTTTTAGCACTGCCAAGGGAGTGGAACATTTTAAGACAGGAAATTATGATACTGCCTTGAAATACTTCAAGCATGCACTGCAAATTGATGGTAAAAATGTTGAGGCAATGGTGGCACAAGGAGCTCTGTGAGTCAATTACAGTTTTTCAGTTTCTCACCTTTTAGAAGTTTATTTTTAATGTTGGTTCCTTTTTCAGTTTCCATGGGTCACTCCTCAATTTGTTTTGGGCTGTATTACCTTTTTGTTTTTGCATCAGTACATTGCATGCTATCTTGCATGTTACACCTGTTTAGCTTAAGTTTGCAAAGGTCAAAACTTTGCATCAGTCACACATGTTATCCTGTTCTTATCCCAATTATTTGTCATTTGTGACATTACCCCGATTTAGTCAGTTGATGTAAGTGACAATAGTTGGTTAGAGGCAGTCAAGGTTGATTCAGGCTAAGTAAAATTTGTTAGAGATTACTGTGAGTTACTTTTGCTTGAACAAATTTTGCCTTTACATGATGAGTTGCATTAACTGTTTGTTTAGGTATTTTTAAGTCAATTCATTGTTTTTTCAGGTTTGCCAACCAAGACCAGCTTACCACTGCTGTTAAGAATTTTAAGGATGCACTAAAAATTTGTCCAAGCCACAGGAATGCCAACAAATATCTCACAGCAACTCTTGTGGAACTTGGAATACAGTTAGTACTAGTAGTCTAGTTTTTATTTAATTTTATTTTTATTTTCTTTTTATCATGATTGGAGATTGATGAAATACAGAATATTTTTAGTTTCAAACCCATGATATCTTCACCATGTACAGTGAAGGTACCATTCTTATCTTCACATGTGAATGTGACAAGGTTTTCCTGTTGACTGGGTTAATCAACATAGCAGTTTTACTTTTTACAGAGCATCTTAATTTTTAAGTTACCAACATCACTGAAGATTAAATTTAACTTTTCTCTAAGAGGAAAACATTTTTATAACAAGATCTTTTAATTTTATGTCAGAAGTTGAAATAGTTCGCTTTTTTCTGTAGCTGCTCCTATGTCAGAGTGTTCTCTGTATTCCACATGTATGCTCCTAACCCTTTAGCTCCCAAGATCTCATTAGTAATTCTCCTTACTGTGTGATGTTAGTTTGGAGAATTTGGTATTAGATCAATTTATAATCCCCCAAATGACATTTTTCTTTATTTTCATTACTTGTCTGCTCAATTTTGTATTGATATTGTAAGGAGAAATTCTGTCTTGGTCACTCATGGGAGTTAAAGGGTTAAAATATTTTTCAAAATTATTTGGTTTATGCTGTTATACCTACATAATAATTAGAACATTACATGTCTAATATTCCATATTTTATTCAGTCTGCTTTTTCTTTTGAACTGTTGATGTATATTCAGACAAGAAAAAGAAGGTCTTTTGAAAGAAGCCATGCAGACTTTCAAAGAAGCACTGGGACTAGATTTTAACCAGAAAACTGCAAAAGAGCATCTGGAAAATTTAGAGCAACAAGTTAAACTGATGGAGCAGGTGAGTCACTTGTTTTGGGTAAGAAGTGCCTTAAGTAACTATTTGCATGTAAGTCAGATATTATCATTTTCCCAAGATGACAATTCTGCATTCAATCTTAATCAAACCTTTTTACCAGGAGGTGGAAAAAACCTATAACTTCAATTTGGGCTCAGAGGCTCTTATTATACTTGTATTTCTCCAAATTTATCAAGCCTTAGTCAGCTGGGACTAGCAAAAATGAAAGTGACCTCAAATTGGCAGTAGTTATGCAAGAAGAGCTTGGGGAGGGTCTTTTTTTCACATGATTTCCCCTGACAACCACAAATTAATGTCATACACCTGTCTTTTTGCTTGACTTCACTGAACAAGAGCCAGAGAAAGGCAACAAATTAGAGCATGGGGTTACCTGTTAAATGAGCAACACATATTTTCAAACATTTTTTCATGATTTCAGTTTAAATTCTTGCTAATGCAGTTTTATTTTTTCCTTTCATGTATGGCTGCTGTGGTTCACCCCTTGATTGCTGGATAAATGAAATTGCTGATTTGTGACCATTGTGTTGTCAATTATTGATCTGCTGCAACACTGTGCTTCAACAACTGAATTTCTTCCATGGAATGTTCCATTATTATGGAATGATTTTTATATCTTTCTTTGTCTGTTTCCATTGCAATTTGAAATAAAACTATTGAACCACTTTGTCCTGTTGCCATTTATTTTTAAATGCTTACTATTATCATATCACTTTTAATTACCACATTATTTTAAATAACTTTTTTCACTTTTTGCTATCATGTTTAAAAATATTTCTATGCCTTTTTTTTCACTTTAAATTTTACTTTCCATTAATTGTTTTATTTACAACTTTTTGCCTCATGCTATTTTTTCTCTTTAATTCATTTACTTTGCTTTGTTGTGATTTTTTATTTTACTGTTTCTCTCTATCTCTATTTTCCTGTTTAATTTTTTATTTTTCCTAACAATTTCCTGCCCTATTTATTAACTTATTCATGTCCAATTACACCATTGGTAATGCATCTGGCATTGTCTTTCTTCATGGTATTTTAACCCACCTGGTTTTTTCCCACTGTGAAATTTCCTGTGGTGCCAGAAGAAATCACAGGCTGCAACAAGGGCTGACAAAGGGCTCAAGAGCAGATTCAGTCATGTGCGAGAGCTCATACTGGAGGAACAAAGTCAGGCAAGGAAGAAACAAAAACGAAAACACAGGTATGGCCAGTTCCAAGAAAGTTGTGCATGTGATAGTTCCTGTTGTTTTCAAACCAGTTTGATGATTAAAGTTGTTTGTAAAAAAAACAATAGAGAGAGAAAATTTTAGCCAGGCCCTATATTTGTATATGCTTCGAAAGATACCCCCTTTTTTCTCAGAAGGCTGAGGTTGTGCCAGGGTATTATTCATGTAGTGTACATAGTTCTACACTACACACTTATTTTTAATTAAAATACAAAACCTTTACATTGAGAATCTGACCAGATTTGCAGTTGGGTGTCATAATTAGTGTACTACTTATCCAACTTATTTGGGCATGAGTATTTTTCTCCTTAGTGACAGCCCCATCTCTTAACATTTCACAATTGCATTATTGTTAGGGAAACATTCTTCTTTGCTTGAATAAACACCTGCCCCAGGGAGAGTCAGAAGTTGCTGTGAACCACTTCCTGTTTCTTTATTTGAGTTATGTTACTTGAAATCAAGATTTTATTCAAGTTTTAGCCTTTTGCACCACTGAAATTAAAATAAGTTCCAGAGGGAACCAAACCATATACTTTTTCAGTAAAAAATAACCAGTTACATGCTATTTGCACAGTATCCTATTTTATTATGGAATTGATTTCAGAATCTGACATAGCCAGAGTATTTTAAAGCATTTATGTTGCACACTTTATATCTTATTAACAAATGGGATCCCCACTTGAATGCCTGGTTAGCTATGTTGTTACTGGCTTTACATGCAGTATTGTTCTCATAGCCACTGTAACATGTTATTTGTTTCTGTAATGACCATATGGTTGCTGCTCTGAACAGCTGGAAAGCAATGGAGCTTGGTAAAAATAGGAAGTTAATTATTATATCAGATTCTAAATAGTCCCAAATTAACACTTTACACCCTGATATCAGTATGCAAACTCTCCATATCATGCTCTATACATTTCCTAAGGTGCTGATAAGGAGAATTTGTTTAGCAATCGAGCGTCTTTAGTTGGTGATCATTTCTTTTATTCTCCTAGCCTAAATGTGTGGTTTGTAGATGATATTGTAAGGAGAAATTAGATGTTAGCTACTCTTAGGGGTTAAAGGGTTAACAATTGAGGCTTCTTGAAAGTACTGAACTTTTTTTTCTGGTCATTAAGTTTTGTTGTTTCTTATTTTATAATTTTTGTTTTTGTTGGTAGAAAGAAGAAAACAGTTGAACATCAGAAGAAGAAAAAGAAAAAGAAAGCAAGAGTGAGAGTTGGACATCATTCAAAGCAATCATCTAGCTCATCATCTCAGAGCTCAAGCGAATCTTCCAGTAGTGAAAGTGAATCTTCAACACAGTCAAGTGGCAGTGATGAATGGGTAGAAAGTACTGCAGTTGAAAACAAAACTAAAATAGATAAAAAGAAACACAAACATTCTAAAAGACAACAGAGGTTAAGTCAGAATGTGAGAGAAAGTCATGTTCGTGCCGACAGGTCAAAAAACAACAAATATTCACGTGAAATTCATCATTGGACTGATTCTGATTTAATAGATGTAAGCAAAAAACCCAGCCCAAGGCAAACAAGACTGAAGGCTGAAGAAAGAGAAAGAAGAAAAAGCCCTCATCCTTTAAAGTCATCTGTAAGTTCCAGCATTGATGGAGAGAAGGTGAAACAATATAAAGATGATAAAGAATCAATGGAAAGTAGATCTAGAAAAAGAAAAAACAGTGAGCAAGAGTCTTATAAACAAGAAAGCAAGGATTCAATGTGTTCAAAAAGAGCTCAGTTATCAGATAACAATGGTTCTGCATCATCCAACATCAGTGAGAATTCTATCACAGGAATGCTGAAGAGAATCAGAGAGCATAGTGACAAAAATGACAGGTTGAAGGAGACAAATGCAAGAGAAACCTCAGGTGCCAGTTCAAATTATAAGTATGCTGCTGCTACTGACGAAGGAAGTAGAGGAAGAGCACCCAGCTCCAAAAAGGAGAAGAACAATGCAGAGAAAGTTAAAGAAGGCTCTGTAACTAAGGCACAAAATGTTAGTGCAGTCCATTTTCCTGACTCAACAGATGCTTATGGGAATGCTAGAAGTTCGAATACAAACACTAAATCAAAATTCCTCCATGCACAAAATCAGCATAGTGAGTTCATGTGGGACAGGAAACCATCACTGGTTACTTATGAGGCAAGTTCTGATGAAGAACAAGTCACTTCACACATTTAACAATTAGTCTAAAATATTGTATATGGTGAATTTGTTCAAATGAATCAGGAAGTGATTAGTAAGCCTCCTAAATTTTAAATGTTACCAATAATGTCAAATTTTATTGCGGAGCCTTTAAATGGGGGGATTCTCATTGCCTTGTCTGAAGATTATCACAGGAGTGGGTTAGTTTTTATAGAGGGGAAAAGAAAATATCTGGAAAATTACAATTTCTGTGGGGACTTCTCACACACCCCAGCTTTCCCCAGCCTTAACCCTTTAACTCCCAAGATCTGATTGTTTCTTCTCCCCTCTAGCTGCTGCACATTTCCTTGTAAATTGTTTATGAGAATTTGGTGTTCAATCAGAGTAATACTTCCTCTACTCTCCTTTCCCATTGAGTTGAGGCAGACATTTGTTATTTGGAAATGTGTAGGTTAAGAATGGATGGGTATTGGTCTCCTGTACAGTGTTAAGTAGACAAAAATTATAAGAAGCCCATTTACTCTCTGAACCATAACTGATTTTTTCCCTTCTCCATTAAGTAGAATCTGAAATTAAAATCCTCTCAGCCCTATCTAACCACTCAAAATACCATTGACAACCCCATTTTTTTTCTCCTCTTTATAAGCAATATGATCTCTGTGACACAACTGCTGACATTGAGAACCACCTTCGTAGTTCTAATTAAAATGGTGTACCAATTATAAGAATGTTTTGCTAAATTTCAGATAAGAACCTCAAAACAGGCTATTTTATAAATCTGTTTCTCAAAAAAAAAAAAAGTCAGAACCAGTATTAGATTCACTAATAACTGATGGCCTCTAAATAAATATTTTATTTTGATCTACATTAGAGTTTTATTGTGTTGTGTTAAAAAGATAACACCCTTCTTATTAACCAAGCATGAGGGCTATTCAGGGGAACTGGCCTGTTGTCATGGTAGTAAGAGGTGAACACAGCAAGGTCTGTACAAAAACGATTGAAGGCCAATATTCCTCAGTATAGCTTGAGCAAGTGAGGTTAGTGGTTCATTATATGGCACTGGGACCAAACTTTTTTATTTTTAATTTTCGGAATTTTGCAACCAAAATACACGGTATACACACCTGAACATTCAGGTGGAAACAGTCCATATGGCAAATTATGGACCAAGTATGAACCAATCAGAACCCTCAGATCTACCTCAGGACTAACTTGACATTAACAATGCCAGTTATTTGTTAATTGCAATGCACTGGCCATGTTGCCACCTCAGTCATCCTTGTTCCTTCATTGTTTTTTATTACCTCTTGAGAAGAAAAAGATGAATTATTTTACAATTCTTTTTTTAAGCTCAAAGGGCATCTGAATGGGTCAATTTGAAGGATGGTGTGTGACTAGACAAATTATAATTTTTTTAGCCATTTCTTTGATGAGTCAAGTCTTAAATTAATCCACAGTCATTAAGTATGAGTTAAAAGCTTATTTCTTTCAAAAAGAATTGAGAAAGTTAAAATATAGACCTCTACACCTCCTCTCCCCTCCCCCTCAAAATTTCGTTCCTCTTGGCACCGTTTCCTCTTTTGGCTTAGCAACCTGGCAATATTTACGTAGTGACTTCCAGTAACTCAGAACCCTTTAATGTTTTATAGGATGATTACGGAGACCGGTAGTTTATAATTTTAACGCCTTAGAACGGGAGAAAGTTATTTATTTTGATTATCTAGCGAACAGAATGTACCACAGGACACTTGCAGTTCGTTTAGCGTATGGTTCCATGTCGCTTTTCATAGCGATTCTCCACAATGTGTTCCTTCTGTATTACGTAGACATATTTGTTTCCGTTTACAAAATTGATCGTAATTCTTTTTGGCTCGGAGAGGTAAGAATATTCTTTTTTATGCTATTATGTTAATTTGGAGTTAGTTGATATTTTGTTATTTAAATAACATAGGTTTTCTTTTGTTTTTAAAAATCAGATATAAATAACCAATAAAATCTCGTACCCAATCACGTACTCTGGGATTCGTAATATTGAGATTTACTCAAATGTAGAATCAGTCAAACCCTTTATAACTTAAAGGTGATGAGCACTGTTTAAAAAAGAATAAAAGAAATCGATAGATTTTCAAGGTTAAAATGTAAGGGTTAAAATTAGCGATTCAGAGTTTCATTATGTGAATATTGTTGCTATATACATGACTCCGACTTCGCAAATTTGCCTTGGTCAGAGAAAAATTGAGAGCCAAGACTACAAAAGTGCTGGAGGGGAATTTCTGCCAGCAATCCCGCCTAATTTTGCAGTCCTTTCAAGCACTTCATAGCACTGCTTACAAGACATATAAACTGTTTTCACCTGAAATGAATTAATCTTCTTTGGTTTGTCCATGTAGGCAATATTTCTAGTATGGAATTCTCTGAATGATCCACTTTTTGGCTGGCTGAGTGATCACAGAGCCCTTGGGAAAAATCAGTAAGTTAAAGATATTTTTAAATTTGTATCTAATAAAGCCATCAAGGGTCAGTTACTTTCTTAGTAATTTTTACTCTAAAGTCTAGTTTGAATTTGAGTCAGTCTTAACTTATACCCAAAGTCAAATTACTTTTAATTATAGATACTCAGATGTGGAACCCTTTTTCATAAAACTCAAACCAGGTGAAAAGAATAACCCCTCAGTATAAATAAATACAGTTCAGAGTGGATAAGAACCTTTTATTTTAAGACATGTTTTAATACAAGTAATTCAACTTCTCTTTAAACCTTGTTTGCTATATATGAAAATGTTTAGGGGACTAAAAGAAATACAATGACATGCTTATTATTGCCTAAGGATATTTGTATCATTCTAGACCCCGTTGTTCAAAGAGAAAATAACGCTATCTAATGGATTAATAATTGCTTATAGTTAAAAAAACCATACTACGCTATCTACTGACTAGAGATTTATCCAGTAGATAGCATTATCCACCCTTCATACAACTGGGATCTCACCTGGTTTTAGTTGTTCAACTGTTAGATGACTCTTTACATTAAGAAGATTAGTTTTGAATCATAGAATTAAAAAGGCATGCATTGGCAGGGAGGTCAAATGCAAATTGTTGTGAGAGCAACATGATTATGTGCAGTATTTCATATGTATAGAGGAGGTTTAACCCCTTTCACTCCCAAGATCTCATCAATTATTCTTCTTACTATCTGCCATACAATTCTTATTATGTTAGTTTGGAGAATTTGGTATTGGATCAACTAAAAATCTCATAGTTACTATTCTTCTTTGTTCTCATCACTTGTCTTCTTTATATTGTATTGACACAGTAAGGAGAAATTCTCTCTTGATCACTCGTGAGAGTTAAAAGGTTAAGCATAGCAAAGAGAGCTTCTGTTCAAATCTAAAAATCCCATTAAGAGCTCCTGATTGGTGCTACATATAAGTGAAAGATCACAGTTTCTAAAAAATTTAAAAGAAAATTGAAGTCAAATGTTTATTTGGAAAATATTTTGTTCCTTTTTAAGGTCAAGCCTGAGCCAATCAGAGATTGTACAAAAACGTTTTAGGTGAGTTGATCACTTGGTGATCAAATTTTTTTGAAGCTCTATTTCTCTTCTCACTTGTCATGAAGAAAAAGGGCATTGCAAGAAAAATACTCTATGAGGAAGAGAAAAACAGTGTATAACTGTAATTTTAATTATCATAAACAATGATAGTAATGACAGTAATTGTAATACTGATCACAGAAATAATATTGATAATAATAGTGATTAGTTTTGTACAGAGTAAAATTTTAATGGGTGGGTTTGGAGTTGCTGAAACAGGCTTAGGATGTCACCTAACAGACTGTCACCCTAACATCAGCAGGGATATTCTCGATACTGTTTTATATACATTTCCTATGGTGTTGACAAGGAGAATTTGTGTAGCAATCAAGAGCTTCTTTAGGGTTGGTGATCATTTGCTATATTCTTGTGATATTGGAGGGAGAAAGTAGGTACTAATTAGATGCCTTCAGGTGTCAAAGGATTAAGAGAATCATGTAATGTTGTGTTCATCAATCCCTCTAGATTTCTCCCTTGTTTTCCCACTTTAAGGATTCTCAGTTTTCAACTATTATTTAAGCTAACAGAAGACCCTTCCTTTTTTATTTCACAGGTCACTTATAACATATGGACCACTGTTTACACTTGCTTTCTTTTGCATATGGTTTCAGTGGTGTCATCCATCAATCCAGTTTGTTATCTGTCTGTGTTTGTATGATGGTTTCTTAACAATGATTGACTTGAACCATCTGGCATTGCTTGCTGACTTGGCTTTGTCATCAGAAGATCGGACTGCCCTTAACTGGTACTGCTCAGTGTTCAGTGGATGTGGCTCAATGTCTGTGTTTCTGTCGTATCGGTTTTGGGATAGAGACAACATGGGGCCATTTCATGTATTCTGTGCTATACTAACAATCTTCTCCTTAACTGGATTTCTGGTCAGTTCGTTTTTGCTTAAAAAGCATTTTGCCACCAAGAAGGTGAAAGTGGACACTCCTGACATGGAGGAAAGGCAAGTCTGAATTAAATGCTGTAAAAGTTCTTGTGGTGCACATTCTACAAAGTTAAATGTAGTTGCAGCAGTGCTTCAATGGAAAGTCAGTCATTTAAGTATTACCCTTTCTTAAAAAACAACAGGAATACTTTGTCAGTTACAATTATATTAATATGTAAACAACATACTTGGGTTGTCATCATCATTATCACTGTTATGTATTTGTGCATGTCTTTTTTTTGGTCATCGTAAAACAAAATGCCTTACAGGGCTAGGGGCCATTGAAGGGAGGTGGAAAGATGTAAATGTTTGAAGGGGGTATTTGGGTCATACAGTGCAAAGTTACTAAATAAATACTTAATTGTTTCAGATGACTGTATGACACTCAAAGACATGTGATGCTTCTTTCTAGGAATGATTGTTTCTCTTCACAAATGTCTTGCAGTTCAATTTTTTTATCTTGGTTCAGAACATCTCAAACCATGTTCCCTTTGACTTCCCTTATAATGAGATCTCTTACCATTTTCTGAGACAAAGAATGAAAAGTTTATGATGTATACACAGGGAGTTGTAACCTGAGTTTGACCCAAAAAAAGAAACAATCCTTAGAAAAAAAAATATTCTCTACATGTAGATATCAGTTTTAACCCTTTAACTCCAAAGATCTCATTAGTAATTCTCCTTACTGTTTGCCACAAAGTTCCAGACAATGTTAGTTTCAAGAATATGATATTGGATCAACTAATAATCCCCTAATTAACATTTTTCTTGATTCTCATCACTTGTCTGCTTGATATTGTATTGATATTGTAAGGAGAAATCCTGTCTTGGTCACTCATGGGAGTTAAAGGGTTAATCTGTATTTTGCAAATTCATTGTCTTCTGTGGTCACATCTGTATTTTGCTCTGCATGGTTAGAGTACTCCAGGGACAAGTGATACAATTTTTGTATACTATATTTAATTTAGGTTAATGTTAGGTTACTTTCTATATATTGTAATTCTGAAACCTTGTTTTACAGGAAAGACATTCAAATTTCCACCGAGTCAGAGGCTGATCAGACTCTTGAGCTAAAGATTTTTGTCAAGCAATTGATTAATCATTCAAACTTTATCTGGTTTGCTCTCATGAACTTAATACAAGTGAGTACCCATGAAAGAAAGACTTCATGAAAACACGAAACACACTCAAAATCTCGAGTTTTCCCAAATCTCTCTTTCAAAAGGATCCTCATTATAATTGAGGCTCATTATTGGGAGGGACCTAGAAATAACATTTGAAACGGGAAAGAAATGAAAGAAAGATACTTTTAATTTCCAAAGCTGTAATTCCCCATTGATACAAAGAACCGCTTTCAAATAAGCAAAAATGGCTTGATGAAAAAATTTATTTATTTAATTTAAGTTATTTCAGAGCCCTTTTCGTAAACAATGTCATAACGCAACTCATAAATCAACAATGAACCCATAGAATTTCCCCGTAACACAAACATTTTGCTATGCATGATGGCGATTGCCATACCATGCCCACTATTTCAAACTTTAATCCAATGGTCGACGCACGTGTGAAAATCGTTAAACTGCAAATAGGAAAGTGGTTTCTTTGAGCGCTCTGAATATAGTTAGTCGAAGCGTGGGAAAACTGTATCCAGCCGCCTTAAGTGCAAACTTGGCGATGAAGTTCAAAGGGTTTCCTTTAGAGTTGAAGACCTAAAACTGACTGGCTTTCTCTCTCTTGCAGGTGTTTCACTGCCATTTCAACAGTAACTTCTTTCCTCTGTTTCTCGACAAGCTACTGGGAGACTCAATTTCTCCTCAGACAGGCGCCATTTTGTTGGGTGTGTCCTTTGTTGCTCCTCATATCAACAACCTATATTTCCTGGGTCTTTGTCGTCGCTTTGGAGTGTACACTGTAATCAAGTGGCTGTTTTACGTTAAGCTTTCTCTTAGCGTGATCATGCTCATGGTCGGTCCCAATTGGCCTGGTTTGCTTTGTTTTTACATAGCGAGGTAAGATCCTGTTGCCACTGACAGATGTTCTTGGTGTACGAGTCTTGATCGAGTTGTGATTTTTTGTTCACATGAAGACCGAGCCGAAGTTGTAAACAAGTACAGCATTATCTGTTAGAGCATATTAAGTTGCAGCTTGCGATCTCCTATTTAAAGTCCGTTGTCGAGGACTGAATAACGTTAGATTTGATGCTCTCCCGCGTTGCTGAAGATTGCGGTACAAAGACCTTAAAGTCCCTCTCTATGACATTACGATCACTGTCTCTCTGTTTTTCTGTAGGCAACTGCTTTCAAAATTATACTTAAACTGATTGATTCAAGCTCATCCTTAGAAACAAATATTTGTAGTCACTTCGGGCCGGTTATTTACACGAGGTTTAACCCAAACCGCGGTTTCCACGCAAGCAGTGGGTCTCAGCGATTTTTTATATGAGAGTTGATTTGATAAAATAAATGTCATTCCACTATTAGCCTTAAGTCCTCTTGACACTGTTCACAAAAATAAATGTTCAAGTAAACGGTTCGGCTAAACTGAAGATGGCTTAGAGCGCAGTTTTGTTATAAATAAAAAAAGGTGTTGAAGTAACCGTCCCATTCAGTTTTACTTATAACAGGTAGAGCCCCTTAATTAAGGGATGACTGATTGACTGATTAGTGTTCGTTGTATTTCAGTAATCGCGTTTTCACCGAGGGAACATGCAAACTTCTTAATCTGATCATCAGTGACCTCGTGGACGAAGACTTTGTTCTTCACAATCGTAAACAAGCTATATCAGCGCTGATATTTGGAACTTCTGCACTCTTCTCGAAGCCTGGCCAAACACTAGCTCCTCTGATAGGAACATGGCTTCTGGCGAAACAAACAGGCCATTCTCTCTTTTACTCAGACGATCTTTGGGCGTCTTCATCCACCGACAGAACTAATTTCCACGACAGTGCAAATAGCTCTTTACGCTGGGGCTGCTTTTATGTACTTGTTTACGTGCCTATTGCGTGCGCGTGTATTCAGATCCTCGCGTGGACGAGGTTTAAACTTCACGGAAGCAGATTGCAATGGGTAAAACAAATGCGCGAAGGACGCTGGTTCCCTTTTGCAGAGGTGTAGAAAATTTTAGAAAAAAAGAGGGTTTTAAGTAATATGCTGTAAATAAAACCAGAGAAATTGTACTGGCGAACAAGGGCAAACGTAGCTGTTATTTTAAAAGGACTCAGTAAGGAGTCAAATCAAATAGGCACAAATGGAGCCAGCGCACTGGATTTTCAGGCGTTTTTTGCTCTCCGTCGTGTTGTTATTTCTGAGAAATGAATTATGAAAGAGAGGGTAACAAGTTATTTCTTATCAAGATAAATATATTTTGGACATTCTTGTTATAAATAGAAGGGTATATAGAATACAAAGTATCTTAATGAACACAGTAGTTTTTCTTTAAACATCGTGTTTGATTCTCTCGGTTTTTTTTGTAGAGGGGTAAGTTTCTAAACAAACTGTGGTGCTGCGTCGGTAGGAGAGTATAACAACGAAATTTGGTATTATCAACTGAGTTGATGACATAAATTGGCCACCATAAAGAGTTTCAAAGCTGACGTTTCGAGCGTTAGCCCTTCGTCAGAGCGAAGGACGCTGGTCAATTTGCTCGCTCTGACGAAGAGCTAACGCATGAAACGTCAGCTTTGAAACTCGTGATGGTGGCCAATTTATGTTATCAACTCAGTTAATAATAGCAATTATTTTTGTAGTGGACGTTCGTGAGTAACTATGACAGACACGTGAAGCCAGGAATACGTGATTGAGTCGGTGAACAACCTTTATTGCAGAAGATGGGTTTACCAAGTGTGAGGAAGTCTTTTAATATTGAAACCTCTGTACAACGCTATTTGGTCGAGTGGATCATCACTGACCCACTCAAGTGAACATTATGCTAATTATTCCTACGATTTTAAAACACGGTTGACCAAGTTTTGATTTGGTCTAGTTTTGCATCTGATTGGGTGGATGCTGGAGAAGTCAGAACACGCGGTAGCTTCCTATCAACCAGTTGATCACGGAATTTAGTGAAAAAAACTAACGCAATCCCGTATCCCTTTCGATATAATACTGAACAGTTGATCAATCTAGGTGTTGAATCAGCACCAAACGAGAAGGGCTGCCTAACGATTTCCAGTTAACTCCCATCGGCTAATGTCACAGGTTGCTATTTACTTTGGCTTTTATGTTTGTTGTTTTCTTTAACTTTTTCTATCCATCTCGTAATTTGTGACCATTTTTCAAGTGAGCGTAGTCCGGATTAGCTAAAACTAAATCACTTTATCTACCTTGCTTGAACTGACCTGCACAAAGCAGGTTTTTCGTTGATCACTAAAAACACGAAACGTTTTATTTAAAGACAGTAATTGACAAGCACAAGAAAAATCATGTTCATTTCCGGTCTCTACCTCTTGCCACAGTTCAAGCATAGTCTTAAAGTGGAACTAAAGTGAAAGAGTTAAGAGCTTTAACCACAATTAAAGATTCCAACGTCCAACCAAAGATTTTAAGTAAGCTAGCGTGGTTGTATGATAAAACTGAAAAAACTAAGATGTGTTGCGCCCTAGCTCAGGGAAAGAGAGAGGACTGAAGAGCCTGGAAACTAGCGAGAGGACAAGAGCTAGGTCTGGGAAATGGCGACTGCCCAGAGAAGGGGTGAAGATACTTCACCTTATCAAAGGTTGGAAAAAGAAGCCGAGTGCCCATTGTGTCACCAGACAGTAGAAGAACCCAAACGGCTACCTTGTAACCACTCATTCTGCCTAAAATGTCTCAACAGACAAGCAGTGGATGCAACAGTTGACGGGAGATCAGACATCATCTGCGTTGCTTGTCGATCGTTTGTCAAGATTCCCGGCAAAGGTACATTTGACGAACTTCCAACTCCTTTCTACCTCAACAGACTAGCAGAAGTTGTTTCCATTGCAGCCTTCGATTCCTGCGAGAAAACTTGCTGGATGTGCAACCAGAGCAAAACCTTGCGTTGCTACTGTTTCGAGTGCCAGAAATTTATGTGTGGATCTTGTGAAAACAATCGTAAGTGTGGAACTTTAGCACAATCTCATCGCACCGTTCTGATCCAGGATCTCACAGAACAAGATTTTGAAAGAATCATTCGAAGACCTGTCATGTGTAAAACGGAAAAACACGAGAAACTAGTCGTAGAATTTTATTGTCACGACTGCAAAGTTTGTATTTGTAAACTATGCGTGATTGAATTTCACAATATTCATGATGTCGAAGGCATCGAGCAAGCCTCAGAGAAAAGCAAAGTGAACGTGATGGATTCTGTTAAGAAGCTCAAGAATGTATTGAGTGATTGTGAAACAGAGATTGAGAGACGTAAAAAGGGTGCTCTTAGAATGGAACGTAACATAAAGGCAGTTGAAGAGGAGGTTCACAAGAACGTTGAAGAACTTATCATGAAACTGAGGTTATATGAACAGGAAGCTCTCGCAACATTACAAAACCTGGGAAATAAAAATCAAAGTGCCTTTAAAGAGCAACAAGAAAAAAATGAATCACGATTAGCAATGTTGAAAGATTTTCTTTCCTATGGGGAAACGGTGTTGCAAAGTGATTTGCCCCTTCCAGTTCTGGATGAGCACTTCACCTTTGTAGAACAGTTTGGACAGACTTTACAGGTTGAAGATGAGGATAGTTTTGAACCACTTCATGTTGATTATGTCCCAAATGAGGAATTCAAAGAAGTATTGAAGGCTAGTTTAGGTAACATTGTTGTTCGTTCCACAGACATGACAAGATCTGTGCTTCAGGGAAGCTTCTCAAAGACAGTGATGAAAGGGGAGGAGACTTGCTTCACAATCATTACAAGAGATCAAGATGGAGAGAGTATCTATTGTGAAGATGATTTGGTTGTTGTCAACATTTCTACCTCTACAGAGGAAGAGTTATATAAAGAAATAGAAGACAATCAAAATGGTAGTTACAAAGTGACCTGCATCCCACAAAGTAGTGGCAAGCACAAGGTATCCGTGGAGATTAATGGTGAACCACTGGCTGGGAGTCCGTGGACATTTGATGTAATCTCACCTGGTGATCTCACTTGAGTTATATTTTTTCCTTTATAACAATAAGAAAATGTCTATGAGGCATCATTGTACATTTGCTTAACTATGGAAGGTACCTATAGTTGAAATACAATGTGTATAGTGGAAAAACAAGGTTCTGCTTAATTGACTATGCTTGAGGTTCCATATTTTTAATAAACAAAATATAGAAATTTATTGCATGGCAAGGTATTCCTAAAGTAAATCCAAGTATTCTGACCTGGTCTGTATTTTGCTATACAGCCCATTTCCATGGAAACAGTCATAAGGCATGGTACTTCTGGTCATAAAAGCTGGAAAATTTAAATTAAACAAGTTTGGTCTGAGTGCCATATAATAAACTACTTACTAAACTCACTTGCTTGATGCAAACTGGGGAATATTGAATCTTGGTCATTTTCATGTGTACCCTAGTACACTTGATACTGCCATGACCTTGAGCCAATATTCCCCAGAATGGCCCCAGCACTTGGCAAGTAAGAAATTAACATAGATAGATAGACTTGAGTCTAGTTCTTTCTGTAGAATAAGAAATGAATCACTGAAATACTCCAAAACATTTGAGTCATAATATTTTCAAAAGAATTATTAGGCATTTGTATAGTACTGTTACCTGTAAACAGGCATTTTCATATCAAAATGTAGTCTCAATTAGTTAGCTATTAATACGAGACAGAAAAAAAATAGTATTACATTAAGTTGGAATAAGTCCCAAAATTTTGCTATCTGTTAAACCAGGGTTAAAGAGCAATTTTCAATTACAGGTGGAAAGAAATATAGTGGTTTTGCTATCCTTTGTTTTTTGCTAGTTTTAGCCAGAAAACCTACTCCACTCGCTCAACCAGTCAGATTCAAAACTACAGCCGCCCGCGCCAAGTTTTCCTACTTAAAACTACATTGGTTTCCAGACCCTTGGTCGGCAAAGTAACCCAGTAATTGCAGTAATGAACGAAGAAGCCCAATGTTGGTAACGAGATAAATTTGAGTGTTTTCTTCGATCCCCTGAAGGAGATCTTATCACAAATACCACACATCAAAAGAATCTCATTTTTACCTATGGACAAGATTACGGGAAACAAAAAATGACTAGATTTCCGTCGTTCTAGTATCTAGTATCAGTTATCATCGAAGCAGACTTTTTCTGCCTAGGGTTTCTTTCATTGCCGTTAAGCACGTGTTCAGTCATCTCTAGTCGAGATAAGAATTATTTCATTCCATACTGTTCCCGGCGTTTTGTCAGGATTCTGAGAAAATTCGGCGGCAGCCGCTCAGACTTCTGGGTGGAAAGAGGCACTGGATGAAATGTCTCTCTCAACAAAATTACCTGACTTATTTCGCTCATGAAGCTAGACTGACCCTGACCCCAGAACTAACCACGCAATCACCACAGATCAAGGGACTTCACAGAACGCCATGGCTAGACTATTGTAAGAGTAAAATACATGACAGGGTTATTGGCAAAATTTACCAACGTATTTTTAATAAGGGTTTATTTAGGGTTATTCATCGTGTACTTTAGGGATTTACTTAAGGGTGTCGGATATGCATCATTCATCTTGCGCATTTTATTTTAACTTATGGTTACATACTGTAATAAAAGGTATATTTAATCGTAATAATGATAAAGTCAGGCGTTAGCTGAGTCTTTCGATTATAAGACCAACAAATTACTCTTTCGTTAGATCGCTACTAGGTTATTAAACTAGCTGTACTAATGTAATCTTTGGACCAACACTAGTTCGGGGAACAACCAGTCTGGCTTTCGATTTGGATTGTGAGAAGGAAAGAGATACACGAAGCCTGTATTGGTTTAGTTGATCTCATAGGGTGTTTTCAGCTGACGTAAGTCCCTATGAAAGAAACTCAGTTTATTTTAGGCTGTGAAAAACTCACACTTTATGCGCCTCACACTCACACGATAAATTTCATTATTTTTTCATTTTCGACACAAAATCCACCAGCTGTGAGGACGAAAAAATTGTACCTCATCCTTTCCTAGTTTCACGCAAAATTGAGAAAAGACATAGTTATTAGGAAATACTCTTGATCCCTCAACTTCCTTTTCATCGGCAGAAAATGCCTTTATGTGCGCTGAGATCAATTGAATTGTCAAATCAGTTTGTCGCACGCATCCCTTACCATTTGAAATTTGATAATTTTCTTGGAATCCCCAAAAAATCCTATAACAATCTCAAAAGAACTCTAAACAAGGATGCAGATTTACCAAACGTGTTATATCATCGATTCCCTTTTGAATATCCTACTGACTAACGCTTGGTTTTTTTTTCCACACGCTCCTTTCAAAACTTATAGAGACAAAAATCTGGGGTACAATG